CTTCAACTGCCAACAGCCTAACTGTGTCTTTCGCATATACTTTCCAACATCGAATATTTTATTGCGTACATGCCTTTGTAAAAGGTATAATATTATCTTTTCTAGCACATTTTGTCAAAAACAAAAAACATACGATTTTTAATAGGTATCTTAACTTGTACTGGATTCAAAAATAAAATGAAAATAACGCTGTAGAAAGAATCCTATACAAGCCGAAGTTGTTGCATTTTGACAACATGATGCGAAAGTCGCCATTTCCCTCAAATGCCCCGAACAGCAAGCGCTCCTGTGGCAAAACATTCCGCGTAACCATGGTAATTAGTATAGGTTGATATGTCAGATAATGGGCCAATTGCGGAATTGCTAAGCATCATGGTAGTTTAGTTACACAGCAGAATTTTTCAACATGGCGCTTACACTTTTCGAACGAGGGAAGGTGCTAAACACACGAGAATTGCAAGAAAACTTTCATCATTTTCGCTTTGATTAAAGTTTTGACGAAATCTGTACGACTTGTTTCATATTTCTACTGCGTCTTGGGCTTCTACGAGCGAGTGCGGTTGAAATATTCAACATGGCGTACAGAGGCACTGAAGCGGGGAAGGAGTTCGATTCGTAGGAGTCATGAACAAATTTTTGAATATTTCACAACATGAAGGTGAGTACTGCATTAAATTATTTTCGAAAGAAGGAACACGTTGTAAACTATTATTTGCCTAAAAATTTTAATGATCGGTTTAATTCTAGCAACTCGAGAGACAAAAATGTTTGCACACTTGACCGTCCCAAAACAACAGATGTTTGATCAAACGTTCGTTTCACAACCACAAAACATTGAGGTTGTTTGGCGCGAAAAATCAAAACAGTTACTGTTTGAAATACCGAGCTTTCACATTTCAAAGGTTTTCAAAGATTTATAAAGTACTTTTAAGTACTATTCACTGCTGTTCAAGTGTCTTATTGGAGTTTTTAACTACAACATATTTACGCGAGTCAAATTTAAAGCAACCTCGCTTGTTTTGAGTATATTTTGGAAAGTTTCGAGCCGTTTGGTTTGCTGTTTGTTTGGATAAATATGGCAAGTGACACGGAAAAAGTGCTAAAGGTAAAATGTACAGGGGAACGACCTGTTGTGTGCCACTTTGTCGAAGCGACAGTGTTCAAAATTCGGAATTATCCTTCCATAAATTTCCTGTGAGAAATATGGCTGAATTTTATATTGAGAATACAAAGTGAACCTTTTATAAAAAAGCCACGAAGTGTGTTTCTTACACTGAGAAATCTTTTAGTGCATTGCCAACTCTCGTAAAATATCATGTAGCCAAACCGTTAACAGTAGCCAAGGCAGGGAACATATATAATTATAGACAGCTAGTGAGACTGAACAACCCAGTTTGAACAACAAACGACTGGCATTGATACACAAGAGTCAACCAATGAAAGATTAAAAACTTAACATGCAGCTTTACAGTTATCATCTAAATACGAACAGTGTGTATTGCGAATAGAACATGTACTTGCCAGTGACACAAATTTTAAATTCTATACAGGTTTTCAAAATTATGCAACATTTAAAGTTTTCTTTGACTTTCTGCAAGCACCATGTAATTTCTTAACTTATGCTGGTTCGAGTAACAATGTAGAATACTCGGCAGAATAAAAAAGCTGCGGCGAAAAAGATCAATGTCGCCTACTGTACGTTGTGGTCTTATATGGGTTGACATATTGCTCTCTGAATTGGCATTTCACAGCACATGTTTCTCGTACATATATGGGCTACTTGGTTAGAGTTTCTCTATCACAAGTTAGGATCATTACCCATCTGGGCATCACAAGATTATACAACAAACTATGCCACAGCCTTTCAAAAAAACCTACCCAAATACCCGTGTAATTATTGATTGTACAGATTGAACAACAAATTGAAATGCCAACATCATTTAGAAGTCAGTCTGCATTTTTGAAAATGGGCACTTCACCTCACCTATCCCAAATGTTGTTGGCTCTGCATAATTATATAACAAGCAGTCTGGTTTCACCAAGCCATGGAGCTTCTGTGTTAACAAATAACCCACACTGAACACATGCAGTTATTACACATGCAGTCATTATCAGTTCATCCTGAATTATTTTGCTCTAAATGTTTTTCAATGGCAATCTGCTCATTACGGTTGCCCCACTTGACATTCTTTACATTGCTTGCTGGCAAAAGGATTTTGCTAAGAAGTGATGTGAGGAAAACATTTTCTCTTCATTTCATTGCCGTACTGAAATGTGAGGTAGTTACAGTAGACGGCCTCGTTGTTCATGAAATCAAAGTTTGCTCTGTGACTGACCTCTTGTATTGCATTCAATGTCAACCATTTGTTCTTTGGGTGAAAAAAGAGTGTTTCGAGTATCTGGTCTATATACTCCGGAGAAGGCAAATGTTTGCACACTGCTGCAAAGGCAAATGTTTGCACACTGCTGCTAGGAACAGTAAGTTGTTCCAGTATAGATGTTCAAATTTTGTATTGTACATTTGATTTGCAAGTAGGTTTGCATTATTGAATGCCTTTTTTGAAGGCAATTCCTCAACAAATTCTTGATATTGGAAAGGTTCACAATTGTTGGATACTAAAGGCCCTGCAAATAATCACAAGTGCCAACAGTTTTCAAACTGGTCTTCACGTTTTCTTAAGTCTTCAACATTTACATGTTTAGCAAAAGCAGATGCTGGGTTGTTGTAGTTTGCTGTGCAATGTTTTTTCTGTCTTGAAAGTTGCCTTGCTTATTTTTACTTTGTTGAAAAGCACTGCAGTATCAAGTTTCTCATTAGTAAGTTCAGTGACTGTCAGACTGTGTACATGTTAAATCATGTGGGACTTCAGTTTAATAATTGAAGTTGGATATTGAGTCCAAAATTTGAAATAGCAGGGCAGCTACATGTTTACAGCAACGGAACCACCTGTACAAGTGCAACTTGCAAAAGATATTTAACCAGTGTCTTAGACCTACAGTAGGTGAACATATATTCCATAGTGTGCCTTTTTCATGGAGGCATGCACAACACTTTTAATTAATTAAACAGGAAAGATGTTTCTGTGCCTTTCAAAACATTAGCCTTAACTACAACCTTGGTAACCATTTTATCTTTGAACAGTTGATAGCCATATTTTTATGCTTGTGAGCATTTGCATGGTCCAAGTTTACTGAGTAGTCAGTTATCAAATGTTCCTTCAGTAATGCATGCATGGGTATTAAAATACCACTGAGGTTTCTTGTCCACTGTATTCCTTACTCCATATTTACAAACAGCAAACCAAACGGCTTGAAACTTTCCAAAATATACTCGAAACAAGCGAGGTTGCTTTAAATTTGACTCGCGTAAATATGTTGTAGTTAAAAACTCCAATAAGACACTTGAACAGCAGTGAATAGTACTTAAAAGTACTTTATAAATCTTTGAAAACCTTTGAAATGTGAAAGCTCGGTATTTCAAACAGTAACTGTTTTGATTTTTCGCGCCAAACAACCTCAATGTTTTGTGGTTGTGAAACGAACGTTTGATCAAAAATCTGTTGTTTTGGGACGGTCAAGTGTGCAAACATTTTTGTCTCTCGAGTCGCTAGAATTAAACCGATCATTAAAATTTTTAGGCAAATAATAGTTTACAACGTGTTCCTTCTTTCGAAAATAATTTAATGCAGTACTCACCTTCATGTTGTGAAATATTCAAAAATTTGTTCCTGACTACTACGAATCGAACTCCTTCCCCGCTTCAGTGACTTTGTACGCCATGTTAAATATTTCAACCGCACTCGCTCGTAGAAGTCCAAGACGAAGTAGAAATATGAAACAAGTCGTACAGATTTCGTGAAAACTTTAATCAAAGCGAAAATGATAAACGTTTTCTTGCAATTCTCATGTGTTTAGCACCTTCCCTCGTTCGAAAAGTATAAGCGCCATGTTGAAAAATTCTGCTGTGTAACTAAACTACCATGATGCTTAGCAATTCCGCAATTGGCCCATTGTTGTTTCCCATGTGTGCAATAAAAATAAGTAACAAAACTTTGTCTGAACTTGTTGGGCTAGAGACCTACTGGAAACTTTTACAGGCTTTTTAATGAGAATAGAGAATGTTTTATCTGCAACTGTTCACCCTTAGTTGCCACCGACGGTATTTGACAGCATAAAATTGCCTGTGGCTGTGATAACTGATATAACTATAAAATACAGTCTGGTTATACTGACTTGAGCGTGTCATGACAAACTCTTTATTGGAAAATTGTGAAGAAATAGTCGAATATAGAGGGTCGAATATCATACTTAAACTTGTATAGCTACAGTATCATTGGTACATAGCGTTGTGAAGACAAGCCTTTGCTTTAATACCTTTCGCTTCAGCAGTCTTTTTTTCCATACTTCTCTACGCTTTCCCAGGCGAGCTTCTCTTTCCTCAGCAGTCTCCTCGAGCAAACGTTGTCGTCTTCGCTGGCTCCCTCCTTTTCGTGAGACGTTCGGCTTTCTTGTCGTTTCCTTGCCGCTCTTCATTTGGCTCCATACAGTAGTCCATATCTTTTCAATTGGTATTTGATACCATAATTGTTTTATTAAGCTCTTTATAGAGCAAATTGCTTTGAAAGCTGTCAAAGTTTTTTGCAAACGTACAAAATACTGCAGTGCAAAAAGCAAAATATTTTCATGAAGTATCTGTCAGTTGAAGTCGTCATTCGTCGTACAACAACAAATTTTAAATTTGACCAATCAGTGTTCGCTATTCATGACAGTCCGCCATATTTTTGAGATCAGTGAAGATGACCACCATATGATGACCACCCACCGAAACACGCACAGTGACCCACGCCCGCGATATTTGATGAACTTCAGACTTCCCTAATGCTTTCGTTTCCCCGGGTGTAAATAGCCGGGGGGAATTAGTACCCTCGCACGGCGCTTCGCGCCGCCGGCTCGGGGACAAAATATTGTCGCAATGAGTTCCGTCACTTCCATGTTCCACATCAATAAGAAAGCTCATTACACACAATTCGTACAAGACGTGCGAACGTGTGAATGGACTCAGCCTTCATCACGTGATCAGGGAGCATATTATAAACCTGCACCCCACTGAAGATAAAAGTATTTTTTCCAAAATTATATTTGACTTTGGGAAGTATTAGCCTATTTTTGTGTCTAGTATTGTAGCTATGCACATTACTAAATTTCTTAAAATAATTTAAAAAATAATTCGGGACTAAAGAATGTAGACATTTGTAAACTAATATAGCTTTATGGTAAGAGCGTCTACAGTTCAATGAAGACCATTTAAATTTTTCCATCGCTTTGGATGATCTTTCACTCAGTGTTATAATTCTTGCGGCGCGATGTTGCAATCGCTGTAATCTGTCCTCGTCTTGTTGCAGAAGGCTACTCCAGGTAATGACACAGTAATCGAACACTGCCAGGATAATACCGTTGTAAACATGTATTGCTGCTTTCTCCGTTAGAAATGTTCTAATACGCCGTAAGACATTAACTCGTACTGCGACCTTTTTGTATACATGATCCGCTTGATCTTTCCACGTCATATGACTATCGAATACTACACCTAAGTACTTAAAAGTGATAACACTTTCGATACATGACCCGAAGAAGTTCACGGTAAGAGCTCTGTTTCGTTCAGCGTGCCTCTGTGAGCAGAACAAAATACAGTTGGTTTTGGTGATATTCAGCACCAGGTAATTATCTTTCAACCACTCAGATAAGCAATTTAAATCTTCATTGATGTTATCATTCACCACATCAACCGTCGAGGCCGCAAAGTATATTGCTGTATCGTCTGCAAACATACTGACTGAGCAGCTTCGCATACAAGATGATAAATCATTGATGTAAATGATAAATAATAACGGGCCAAGAATTGACCCTTGCGGGACCCCACAAGCGATATCCAGCTCTTCAGATCTATGCGAATCAATAGTTACAAACTGCTTCCTTGAGCAGAAGTAATCCTTAAACCATAATAGACTTTCATTGGATACGCCATAATGTTTCAGCTTATGAATTAAGACATCATGGTCGTTTGTGTCGAATGCCTTAGCTAGGTCAATGAAAACGGCACCCGTCACTAGCCCTTTATCCATGCCCATGAGAATTTGGTCTGCAAAATGGGTTACCGCCGTTTCTGTTGAGTGTTCCTTTCGAAATCCTGACTGAGATATACACAACAGGATATTTTCATCAAAATACGATGCAAGTTGGTTATGGATTAATTCGCTCCTGAACTTTAGATACTACTGGTAAAACAGAAATAGGGCGAAAATGTTTTGGATCACTCTTTGCGCCATTCTTGTAAAGTGGCGAAACTTTTGCCTTCTTCCATTCCCCAGGGATCTTACATTGTTGAACTGACAAATTGAACAAAACTGTCAATGGATAGGCAAATACGTCAGCTCCGTCTTTTAACAATCTGCTTGGTATGCCGTCTACACCGGTGGCTTTCTTCACCTTTAATTCCCTCAGAGCAGTTCGAACCTCCGAATCAGTAAATTGTTGAAACGTAAAGCTTTCCGGATGTTCCATTTGGGGTAACCATTTTTTGAACGCATGGCCAGTCGTGCTACAAATTGATCTTAAGTTCGTAGCACAAGAAACAAAGAAACGATTAAACATGTTAAGTTGCATTTAACTTTCAATTCAGTTGTCGCTGAACCTGCACCAGTGCATCCAGTTCCTTTTCCACATTTACCAAGTAAACGTTTCAAATTTTTCCAAGTCCCCTTTGGGTTTGATTCTATCTATCTATCTATCTATCTATCTATCTATCTATCTATCTACCTATCTATCTATCTATCTATCTATCTATCTATCTATCTATCTATCTATCTATCTATCTATCTATCTATCGAATTATCTATCTATCTATCTATCTATCTATCTATTTATCTATCTATCTATCTATCTATCTATCGAGATAGTGGGAGTGGGTTACCTGTTCAAGATGGCGGATGCCAATTTTTAGCTCTGCCAATTTTTTTATTCTTTGGAAATTTTGAAGTTCATAAAACACAAAAACAAATATTTTTAACTTTGTTTTAAGCTTGTGATTGATTCTGGAAAGTAAATATCTATTATTTGGCCGTATTGGCCCAACAATTTCTGTTATATTTCGCTAAACGTTTTGACGAAGTTCAAATTCAAGATGGCGGCTCCTATTATGATGAATCTATCACGTTTACTAAATGAATGTCAATGCTTGCCAAGGGATGTGCTGGTGGAAAAACTAATTGAAGATAAGGACGTTGAACAACTGACTAATTTAAAACTTCAACTCTATGAAAAGTGCAAGAATATCAGGGGTTTCCCCAATGGAGAATTCTACCAAAGACGAAAACCGAAAGGCACAAGCCATTACTCTAGTTTGGAAGAGAGGCTTGCTGACGATGTGTACGAACTGATGACTTGTTTAGACACTGAAGTTATCACTGCAGAAATTAAAGCTATGATTAAGCAAAATGATTCATTAGTTGCGGACAATAGCAATGAATCACAATCTGCACTCATGCCAAATAATGAGCCTCGTAACAGTTCAGTTATAATAAATCGTTCAAGTGGCTGGTCGGGGGTGAAGAGTAAGGTTGCTTCCTTGGAAGCTGGACAAGTCGTATTTCGTGAAAGACTTAACCAGGAAATAGACGAACTGTCAAGCAAAATAAGCAATCTGGTAAAGGTTGTCGAAGCACAGCGTGAGGAGATAAACCTGATAAAAGTTGAAAACGAATTACAGCGTGAGGAGATAAAAGCGATAAAAGTTGAAAACGAAGAACTGCGCCTTCTCTGCACTAACAAGAATCCCGTATTCAACGCAGAAGGAGAAAGCCAAACTCATCAAAAGCACTGTGGTGACAAATCACCTACTTCTCATAGTGACTGTGTGAATGTGGATTCACATCAAATTGAAAGCAACCAGACACTCATTAAGAACTCGCTAAATAATACTGCACATGAGCAGACGAACAGGTCTGCAGTTTCAAAGAACCATGCTAATCAAAGCAATGAAGTGGAGATGATCCATGTTGAGGAACAATCGTTTTGCTCAAATGTCCTGACAGGAAAAGAAGACCAACCGGTGTCAGATGAGGCGACTGAGAAACCCAGCACGTCCACGTTTACACAAAGGAATAATCTCATTAATGCTCCTCAAAGTGCCAAACAACAGAACTTAACGTATGCGGAGGTAGTGGAACAGCATCCAGCTTCAAGCACAACGGCTAAAAATGGTGAAAAAGTGACATTTCGTCAAAAGCAAGGAACAGTAAAGCAATCTCAAGAATGTAACAATGAACTAGCTGGTGACTCAAATAATGAATTCATTGGAGTTGAGCGTAAACGGAATAAAATAAAATCTTTCTTTCTTTCTGGGATTGCACAAAATGTTACTGAAAATCAAATATTGTCATATCTAAAAGAAAGAAATGTAATACCCACTCAGATCCGTATATTCCACAGTCGACGCAAGGGGACTCTCTCTGCAAAAGTCAACGTTTCTTCTAAGAATTGTTCAGCAGTGTCCGAGGAACGTTTTTGGCCAAAGTTCGTTAAGTGCAAGCCATGGAAACCAGCAAGTATTGTAGGGAAGAAACTACAAGGTGCTAGGAACTATTCAACGCTTGTATAATGGCGGAGATGAACAATTCTAATCAGCGAAAGACATCGCTTAAGCTTATCACCTGGAATATTGGTGGGATAAAATATAACTTAAAACACCTGCGTGAAAGCCTTGATAAATGTGATATTATCTTTATACAGGAACATTGGCTTCACTCAGACTCCCTCTCGCTGTTAGACACAGTGGACTGCTCATTTTCATCTTGGGGCAGATGCTCGTCTGAACTGAATGATGATTCGATTTCTCGACGAGGAAAAGGCGGAATTTCCTTTCTGTGGCGAAACGAAATGAATATATGTATTGATCCTATGAATGAACTTGGTAACGACAGGATAATGGTATTGAGAGTGAAACTGCTAGATGACACCTATGTTTACATTATTGGGGTTTATCTGCCTACGACATCCGAACCAGCTGACACATTTAATTATCATTTGAAACTCCTGGAAGATGTGTCGTTAGAACTTTGTAACAATGGATCCATTATCATACTTGGTGATTTGAATGCTCATATTGGACAGCTAGCCGGAGAGAGAAGCTTTACAAAAATCAATTCCAGAGGGCGTTGTGTTCATAGAATAGTAGATGACTTAAATCTGATTTCTGTTAACTCACAGAGCTTGTGTAAAGGACCCATTGAAACATTTTATGGGAGCCATGGACTTATTAGAACAACAATAGATCACATATTTGTTCCAAGAGAATTTAGTACCTTTATCGCTGAATGTGCTGTTATAGAAGATTGTTCTACAAATCTCTCTTACCACCTCCCAGTTTACTGTGATCTGCGGGTGATAATGAAGACGAAACAGCCAAAATGTTCTAAAAACTTTTTGATGTGGGACAAACTGAAGGATAACATCTATGTGAAGAAATATCAGGACGAGATTGAGCGAGGCCTTTCAGGCTGTTCATGGACAAACCAATCCCTTGACTCAATCGCAAACATTGAGAATTATGTTGAGAAGATAACACACAATCTGAAAACGGCAGCGCTCTCGTCAGTGCCAATTAAGAAGTCTAAACCATTTCTGAAGCGTTACTGGAATACAAACCTGTCAGCTTTGAACAAAAAGGTCAAGTTATGCAGAAGAACCTGGCTAAGAAATGGTAAACCTAGAGGACGAAATTCTAACTCCTTTATTGAATACAAAAATGCTAAACGTGATTTTCGTAAGGCACAGCGGAGAGCAATTTATGATGAAGAAATGAAGGATCTAGAACATTTAGAAAAAGAACATGACATTGACAGAAGTGACTTCTTCAGGAAAATTTCCCGCATGACTAAGCAATCACAAAACACAAATGATGCCTTACTCGTTGATGGTAAACGCGTAGATGACGAACAGGAATTACTTAGTATATGGCGAGAGCACTATGAAGACCTGTATACTCCAAAACATGATCCTGATTTCGATAAAAACTTCAAAATGCATGTCGAAGAAAGTCTTCACAATATCGAAGAAGAAAGTTATGGAAATGAAGATCCATTAGATATTCCATTCAAGGCAGAAGAGATCCAGAGTGTATGCGATAAATTACCAAATGGTAAAGCGGGTGGTCTAGATGAACTTGTTTATGAACATTTTAAGTATGGAGGGTCGTTCACGCACCAAGCTTTGACAAGGATCTTCAATGCAGTTCGTCAAATAGAATATGTTGCTGAATCTTGGACTTTAGGTAATATCTTCTCGATTCTTAAAAAAGGTAAAAAGAATAAACTTGATAAGGGAAGTTACCGAGGTATAACGTTGTTGAATGTGATGGGAAAAATTTTTGAACGTATTCTTTTAAATCGCTGGATTCCAAAGTTTAAGGCTATCGGTATCCCTAACGATTTTCAGTTTGCATATCAGAAAAACAAAAGCTGTGTATTATCCAGTTTCTTTCTACAAGAGATCATTAATCATAACGTAGAAAAAGGAAGCAAAGTCTACTGCTGCTTTTTGGACTCTTCGAAAGCCTTTGACTCCGTATGGCTAGATGGCCTCTTCTATAAATTATATCATCTCGGCTTTAATGGGAAATCCTGGAGAATTCTGAGAAACTGGTATGGTAAAATGCGTTGTTGTGTTTCTGTAAACAGTCTGCATTCTAACATGTTTCCTGTCAAGCAGGGTGTGAGACAAGGAGGAGTGCTATCGCCATGGCTATTTCTCTGCTTTAACAATGACATTCCTGAAATATTAAAACCAATTGACAGTGGGCTCAAGATTGACAATATCCATTGCAATTCGGTGTTGGTTGCGGATGACATCACCTTATTGTCACTTAGGGTAAAGGGACTGCAAGGCTTACTAAATGCAATTGAATCCTATAGCAAGAAATGGAGATTTTATTTTAATTCGAGCAAAACTGTCGAAGTGACTTTCGGAGAAAGAACTACAACAAATTCTGTTTGCAAACTGACCAGGGAATGGTATTTAAACGGTGTAAAAATTACAGAAAAAAGTTCGTGGGAGCATGTCGGAATCTCCTTGAGTGGGAATTTCTCCAGCACGGAGCGAACAAAGGCTGCAGCAAATAAAGGAAAGGCTTACGTTGGCGCTTTAATGCAAGCTAAAATACGACCTGCTGGACTAAATCCAACAATTGGGGCGAACGTTTGGAGATCATATGGCCTTCCAGCCATGCTATATGGAAGCGAAGTCTGGTGGAATCTAACACAAACTGAAGAGGAAATACTAAATCGTGCTAATGCCTTTGCTGCAAAAAGAATTCAAGGTCTCTGCATAACCACAAGTTCTCATGGAGCCCTTGGCGCTATTGGGATGTGGCAAACAACTGCATATATTGACAAACAAAAACTTTTATTTCTTGGTTCCCTTTGTCGCTCTCCGCCTGACACCTTGCAAAAGCACCTATTTCTATATAGAGTATTCTCACATCTTCATCAAGAGAATTCTCGAAGTATTGGTTTCGCAGCGGATATCTACAAAATACTTGAAACATACAACCTAACGGACTATATCACAAATTACCTAGCAACCGGTGAGTTTCCCAATAAAACCAATTGGAAGAAAATGGTTAAAGAACAAATTCATCAAAAAACAGACGGAAGTATGGAAGGAAACCATCAGTGCAAAACCGAAATTAAAGCACTTGCAAAAAAGTCACACAAGTTTAAAGCCGCTTCAACACTGGAGTGTAACAAAGCGCAATCCCTGCGTGCGAGAGATAATAGCTAATCTGGTAAATTTGTTATGTGGAAATGTTCCAGCACTGGTGTTATTAGCTGTAATAGATAACGATACTGAATATGTATGTCGTGTATGCGGTGAAAGTCTGCTTGACGTCGGAGAACACTTTGTAATGAACTGTCCAGCAACGAATCTAGAGCGTAACACAATGTGGGACAAATTAATGGATAGCCTTCCTATACAAAGCATGTGCTATATCCACAACCTAGAAGAAGAGGATATTTATACAGTCCTATTAAGTGGAAACTGCCCCTCTCTTACCACAGAGGATCTTGATAGATTTCTGACAATAACAGCAGGTGGAATATTCAACATATTCCTCAAAGTACATGATCTCAATTCGATACAAGTTAACGAATAATGTAGGCAAATTAACTGCAAATATTGACACTTTCATAATTCTTAACGTAAACTTAGTTTTAAAATTTTAATATTGACTTTTAACTATTTTAATAAATTGTAGCTACTTATATAATAATTTATTCGTAACTGTAAAGTCTGCTTTTCGCAGATTCTCTTCAGCATTGGAGGTTATGTAATGAATAAACTATCTATCGATCGATCGATCGATTGATCGATCTATCTATCTATCTATCTATCTATCTATTTATCTATCTATCTATCTATCTATCTATCTATCTATCTATCTATCTATCTATCTATCTATCTATCTATCTATCTATCTATCTATCTATCTTATTTATTACCTGTTCCAGCGTAATCTTCCCTAAAAACTGTTTCATGCTAAACACTGATTAATGCATTGACGGGCAGTCAAGATCTGCCCTACCGCATAATATTTAACGAAGATATAAATATGACAGCTGTTGCCCGCGATTGAGCTCAAGGATGAGTTATGGGGAGAAGGCGAGATATATTGTCAATGTGCTGCTGCAAACTGACACCACGAAGAATTTTTTTAGCTGATTAGCGTTTAATTATTTAAGAATTGAATGTAACGACACGGCGATTTTGCATGAGCTATCAACTAATTTTCTCCCACGTAAAACTTCCACATCTGTGAATGAATTAACCATCGCCGAACATCTTTCGGCATGCAAGTTTCCGTAGTGTATAGTGGTCATCACGTGCGCCTAACACGCGCAGGATCCCCAGTTCGATCCTGGGCGGAAACAATGGACTAATGGAAAAATTGATTACAATTTTCTCCCGATCGACAACAAGCAGGCATAAATTTGCGCATGGTTAACTGGGAATATTTTCTCAAAAATCCCGCACTTACAGCAATCCATGCTCATATAAGTCTTTGGAATGGATTTGGACACTTGCCGGAGAAATATTAAGAGTCATTGTCTGAGAAAACCGGGCAGGGTCAAAAGATCGAGGTCGGCCGATTTCCTTCATATTTATACCATTTGTTAGGAACCTTGTAAGATTACCAATGGTGGAATACGGGGCTTCGCGGACCTTTCGTTGTCGAGTTGACAACCCCCTCCTAACTTTTGGGTTTCTGATGGCGTAAAATCTACTTAATTAATGCCAATTTTGCCGAAGCTAGAAAATTGCTTTGGAGGGTCAGAAAAGTGTACTGGTATTTTTTTTAGCAATATTTGTTGCCTAAATAAGACAGGAGCGTAGAAAGCTTTCACTTTGGAACATTAGTTTTTTTTATTAATTTCCATTGTATATCTGCCTTACTGCCGACTCAAGCGATGGCCCGAAATTTAGTCTGATTTCAATAGCGTTTTATCAAAAGTGCGGCAGTTTATTGAATCATTTGCTCAATTTTGTGATTATACATATGTTTGTTATAAAAATAAAACAAAGTTATCTTTGACAACGCAGCAGATACCCGAATTCCACCGTAATTATCCTAAATAAATCGTCTCAATTACGTCAGCCATTTCCCCCATATTTCCCGTGCTTTCATAATCTATCCCATAAATGTTGTCTTTTTGATACTAAAGTCTTAAAGAAATAAGTCGGAGAGGGAACATATTTGTTCTTTTCGCTGCCCCAAAACTCTAAAGGTCTTGTTTGCTTGCTTTGATATAAAAAAGGTCAAGGGCGATGACATTGTGCCTATTTCAATTCACAACTTAATTTTACTGAATTAACTGACCTGAGTGAGCCAGAAATTGAGATTCAATGGTTTCTAATCAGAATGGAACGTTTACCACGAGGAATCAACTCTATTTTATTGGGAACATTTTACCATCCTCCTCAGAGTGATGACCATGTTCTTCGAATGCATATCTTCAAATGTTTGGATTCTTTACTGGCCACCTATCCTAATTCTGCCATCTTGGAGAAACTGATTACCAAGCCCACCAGGGGAAGTAATATCCTTGACCAAGCTTTTTTAACTCTGTCACCTTATTACGATGCCATCATCCTGCCTCCTATTGGTCAATCCGATCATTCCAGTATCTTACTACAACCTATTTAACACATGCTCCAAGTCTACCAACCATACGATTGCAAAAGCATGATTATCGAGCTCCTAACAAACAAAATTTGATCTCTTGTCTGAATACTGTTAACTGGACGCCACTCATGCGGCTGAATTCATGCGAGGAACAACTGGATTATTTCCAGTTGGTAGTTCACGTTGCTTTGAATTCCTGTATCCCCATGCGTACTGTGAAACATCATCCTAACGACAAACCATGGATTGCTCCTGTTATTAAAGAATCTATTAAGAAACGTCAACAAGCTTGGTTGAATAATGACTTACACCAATATAAGATTTACACTAATCATTTTACATATTGTCTTTTCTCGTGTATTGTCTTGTCTCCTTGTTCGAGAAGGGTCAAATTGGCCCCTTCGAAGAGTAATGTTACTCTAATGTGGAGTCGCAAGATTCCCGCGAAGAGTTATTTTGACCCTTCTGTGGAGTCAAAACTACCCTTGGAGTTGAAACGACCCTTTCGAGGAGTAGAAACTACCCTTTTTCCAAAGGGACGGAAATGACCCCTAGGTGTCAAAACTACTCTTCTGAATTTACAGTGTAGTTAATTAGTATTCGCATGCATGCATGCCTGTCTTGTTATTGATTAGTGGCATCACGTGATTAGTGGCGTGATACAGCATGCTTTGACATTCTTTGTACTTTTTTATATCCATCTTTGTATTGTTCTATGTTATAAAAAATAGGTACGCGACGCGTACATGTACCTGCGAAAAAACGTGATTGTATAGTAACGAATTTTATTCGTAGGGATCTGTTTATTTATTTATAAAGACTTATGTAGCACGAGAACACTATATTAAAATTAAAGAGTGTTACTATTGTTCAATCTGAAAGTTTTACAATTTTTGTACTTGCCATTCTACTTGCGATATTATTCCGAAGTTATCTATCAACATCGAAACTTATCCTCATCTGGTAAGTAGTCAAATACTACATATTTATTATTTTATTATATATTTATACAGTAAAACAATCATTGTGTTGTGTAATATTTTAAACAATCAAAACATAGCAGGAAATATATTTGTTGTCAATGAAAAATGTTACAGGATACTATAATATGTTCTCAGGATATATAGAATTAAATCGTGGTCCTGTATTTCTATATTAATTAAACTCTGTTCGATGTTATCAGTTTTACACATTATAGGGTTTATAATAATTATACAAAATTTTTACAAACATTTTCTAATGCTAGTCCCCATTGTTATTTTGCTTTTTAACATTAATGTTTTTGTTTAGAGATTAATTCAAGAATGATGAATAAATTTACTGGATATTGGCTAGATAATTATGTCAGAACAACCCACTTGCAAGACAATCTTACCAAAATTCATTAGTATGGATAATCTATATTATATGGATGGATCAGATCCAATAATCATATATTACATGGATGCACGGGTTAGATCAATGGTACACAATATACAAAACTAAACTTGTGATACCTTCTACTCAAACCGATGCTCTCTCATCGGTATCCATGAATACGAGTTCTTCCGCAGCATCTCATGCAGTATCCATGAATACGAGTTCTTCCGCACACCGGAAAACGCATGCATGCCGTGGTGCGAATGTCAAGTAACGACAATAACAAGAATATGTAAACAATACCTTTCGACTAAAAAATTACTGTAATATATATATATATATATATATAAATATATATATATATATATATATATATATATATATATATATATATATATATATATATATATATATATATATAAGATTTGGTTTCGTTGGTTATAAAAACCAGAGCATATTTAAATTAAGGTACAACAATCAACAAAATCCACTAGGCATCTTTATTACTAAATAGTTTCGTACCACAAAATGTGGCTATCTTCAGATAAATTGACCTAATTGACCTAATTGACCTTAGGTCAATTTATCTGAAGAGTGCCACATTTTGTGGTACGAAATTATTTAGTAATAAAGATGCCTTTTGTTTTTTATATATGTATATTATATATATATATATATATATATATATATATATATATATATATATATATATATATATATATATATATATATATATATAATAGATAAAATATAAATATATATATATATATATATATATAGACAAAGATAAAATAAACCTGCTTAAGACTATGTTATGTGTTTTGACATGTGCATGTTAAGTATATTTGCTTACAATTATCACAATCTCAATAAACCAAGTTTCATGCCATTTGGCGTGAACTTTCGTGGAGTTCTAGACTATAGACTGCAGCGGTTTCCCAACAACCTAACCGAACAACAAAACCATGGCATTATTCCAGTTGATCATAAGAAGTTGTTTTGCAGATCCAGAACGCATTGTCGTCACAAGGCAGTTTACTCTTTACCATGGGAACTGCATGCGTGGTCGATATATATATATATATATATATATATATATATATATATATATATATATATATATATATATATATATATATATATATATATATATATATATATGGCATGGTTATAACTCATTGGAAAATAACTCATTGTTTGCCCCTCAAATCCTTATCGAGTGTCAATTTACAAAACTCGAGACAGGAGTAACCAACAACCTGCTATCGTATCATGAAGAAGGAGATCACTATAATTATACGTGTTCAAATAGTATGTCTATTATTATTAGTTTCACTTAGGTCGCTTTGAGTCATTTTAAGCTGCTTTAAGTCATGGTTAGCATATATTAACTTGTCCAAACAATCAGAATTTATCTGCATAACTGAACATAAGCTATGCTAAGTCCTTCGGTGCAGGTCAACTATTACAAACAATATTACTATGTTAGATCGATTCGCCTTCACCTATTCGTTGGTCACCAATAGTCTAAATTACAGTTTGGAAATAATTGTTAAACGACTAATATTATACTGCCGCCCGACCTAACGGTCATTGTTGTTTTTATTAATTTTCCAACCGCAGAACTTGCAACTAGGAATCACTTGAATTAGTTTGTGTCCATGTTTTGTTCATCATTACCTAAATTATAGTACGGAAAGAATTGTTTAACATTAATTCCCCGTGTTTTCATGTCTTCACAAATTGCATGGAACTGCACACCAAATTCCATCAAGGGCCATTGACCTCCATCAACCTCTAGTACATATCCCTGCGTGTGCATCGCAACGATGTATCCATCCAGATCAAAAACAGGTGAACCACTGGCACCAGTAAATAGACTTGTGTCGTATGGAAGACATTTTTCATATATATTGGTCTTTTCCACCATTTCTGCTTTGCTTATGTGCACGCCAGCATGAATTTCCTGTCGTTCCTGTAGTTTATCACGCCATGAGTGAGCTCTGACAACAACGCATGTTTCTTCATGCATTTCATCTCCGCCTGGATAACCAACAATAATAATTCGACCTTCGTTTAATGGACGATTTCTAACAATCGTACCAAGTTGAACACGTCCCTTCAGATCATCGTTTTCCTTCAAACGTAAAAATTTATAATCCAATTGTGGGCTCTCAAGCTGAGAATCCTGTTCTTCATCAACCTCAACAGTGACAATATGTTCTGTTTGTCCTGAGTACAAGTAGTCAAATCTAACTGTGATGGGCAAGTTGGGATTTTTCTGTTCTTCTCTTTCCGTGAAGGTCATCTTATAAACGTGATGGTTGGTTATCACCAGCTTGTCACTCACGATGAAACATGTCCCTCTAACGGTTCCACATACAATTTGACCAACAGAGTCCATGCAATTAGCTAAAAGTTTGTTCAGCCACGCTGGCTTTTTAGTTGAAGCATTTTTATGTATGTCCTCTTCAGCAAATTCGAAAATTCTTTTATCGTGGTTTACAAATTTTCCGTCATTTTTAACAAACTTAATATTCTTCGGACTCAACAGGGTTTTGTAAGCTGCAGATTTGACATTTCTTGTCATGGATGTGCGATTCTTCTCAGATAAAGGTTCCTTGCTGGATGTCGGATGGGTATACACGTACGACGCTGAAAATTCTCGGATGTACTTTTCATAACGAACTAAATCTTCATTCGGTAATGTTTTTGTTCTACTTGGCTTGCATGCGTCTACAACAATTGAATCAACCCACGACGCTAAAAAAATATTCACATTTATTTGACAACATTCTAGACGCTTGATATCCCCCCTATACCCGCCCTGAAAAAATCTTAAATTCAATTGACCATTTGCGTAATAGACTAAATTTTAATCTCAACAAAAATTTCATTACAGCTTGAAAGAGCATCACAAAATTAGTAATATTCCAAAGTTTCGTTGCAAAATGTTGTAAAATGCGGAAAATATAGCCCTGCGAAATTTGCAATTTTCAGTCATTTTAGATTACAAACCGGAAATTGACTAGCCTCCTGCGCAGACGTTGTTAGTAGCCCGAGGCCTCACCTAACGTCTGCTCACATTCGCTATGCATTTGACTTCCCATTGTTTAGAACAGCCAATAGAATTTTATGTAAACAATGTAATTATCCCGCCCACAACATGTCAAATGTCATACGGGAAAACCCAGCAAGCTGTCAATTTCCTATTGTAGCAATTTACACTATGTTTGTATTACAAATTACAACTGCGTGATGTACATATAATATGAACACTGAAACAAAGGAAAAAAGTATTGTAAATAGTTGCTTCACATGCAAGGGTGAAGAAATAGATAAAAATAAACGTACGAGACTGTTTGGTAAAAGCAAAACTCACGATTTCGTGGGTATCCTTCGCGAAACTGCGAAAATCGACTTAGACATTTGGGCCGACTTCATTCTTGTGTCGTAACTGTGTAAATAAATTAAAGCGTCTGGACGAAGCTAACAAGTCCGTAAGTGAGTTGAATAAGTACTTTCGAAATTTATTTAATGGAAGGGAACTGACACAGAATAACGAGCCAAAGCGAAGATTGCATGACACTAGTTTCGAAGTCACAGAGATAACAAGAAAGTCTCTAAAATTTGATGAACAAGATGACCCCTTACTGGACTCGGACAGTGCAAGTGGCATTGAACAGAAAGACGTTACTTTGATTGTCACACAGCCTTTTATTCCCACCGCCACCGTTCAACCAGGACAAGCGTCACAAGCCTTAACGAGCAATATTGATTTGTGCCCGATATTTATGTCCACGCCTAAGAAAGCGCCAGTGAACAAAAAAACTGATGAGAGCAGGGTTACTATCTCTGTAAAGTATCCTTCAAAGGTGAAAAATAAAAACATTGTAGGAGACTTTGCCAAAATTGTAAAAGCCATTTTGCACCAAAATCCTACAGGGATTGCTAATGTCGTTGTCAAATCGAAACAATTACGAGAGAAGGTCGTAGATCGTTTGTTACAACTTATCAAGACAGAAATTGACGATTTGTGTTCTGTAAAAAACCCGTCAATATTACGCGGAACAACGAAAGAGAAATTATTGGAGTTTAGCCTGGAAAAAGTTTGCGATGAATGGGCGGAACGCGCTCCAATGTTTCATTCGTTTTTGCGTGCGTGTTGTTCGAAATCCAGAGGCACTGCCAAAGATTTAGAGTGGTCTCCTGCAATGGCTGTAGCTGGATCAGTTCTACTAAAGCAGCGAAATAAGCATATGAATGCACTAGCTTCCATAATAGGACTAACTATAAAAACCAAATCGTTAGAGGTGAGTCACCTGGAAAAAACATACTTGATTTTATACACAATTATTCTATTTGCCTGCTTTTTTACAATACATTTGTTTGTATGATTTTATACAATCCAATGACCATACAATATGTATATTTTTGTATATGCGAGTTCTGTTTTGCAGCAGTCTTGAAAATATAGATAGATCAATGAAACCCCTTCAACTATCAAACATGTTCACACAACTATATGTTTCATTACAATTTATACGGCTATTATATGTGATTTGTAGACGGTGATTAACACTTGTGCGAAGCTAAGAATCACATGCTGCAATCAAACAGTCTTACGAAAAATGGACATCTTGGGAGAAAACCACGACGAGCTGTTGAAAACTGCCAAACGAAATTTGGAGGACACGTTCCAAGAAGAAAATGGTTCTTCGGTCCATCCAGGTTATACTATCCCTTTTGATAATGTTGACGTCAGGATTGAACGTAGACAAATGACAAAGACATCCCAAAATATGGATTGCCATTGGGTTAATCATCTTTATGTAGAGAACAGAATTTCGGGAAGTCATTTGCCAACCCACTGCAACAAGAGCATTGATAGCTTGGAGAATATTGATCTACTTGTGAGTGCAGAAGATGAGAAGAAGCAAAGATTTGACTTCGTGATATTGGTTTCACGTTTCCTAGTAGAATACTTCGAACATTTTGAATTTCTTAAACAAGTGTGTGTGTTGCATATTCAACATCGTTATAGCAAAGAAATGGCAAAAAAATCTGTCAAGGTCTGGTTAAGTGGTTTTGTAATTACTATGTATTTTTCTGTTTATTATATAAAGAACAGTCTTTGAAAAGCGATAATTTTTACAGAAAAGCGATAATTTTCACATGTGAGATTATCATAAATAATCTCAGATGTGAGATTATCACTTTTATCAGTGCTCGAAATCTCTATAAAGCCCTATACTTTATATAATAAATCACAATAATTCATGCTTGTATTAACTTGTTATTGCATGATTTTACTACTCCATTTCCACTCAAACATGACCAAATTGTATGTTATAGAGTACAATACCGTGACATATGAACAGCTTGTCTGGGGGGTACACCCCGTGACAACCTGGGGGGGAGTGGGAATTATTTGGTAATTTAGCCACTATAACGACCCATGCATAAAGTCGTTTAATGCAATAAAATATCAAGCCCCCTATATCGTCAAGGGGTACATTATATAGGTCGCTTAATAGGGGGGGGGGGAGCTAATATAAAATTTGTGGTACATGAACTAAAAATAGACACAGCCAGGCTAAGATGGAAGTTGGCACTGTAACATGTAACTATGATCATTACCACAAGACTAATATAATTTTGTGATCATGAGTTAATTGTATATCTTTATTTTATAGGCTCCTTTGGGAATTATTTTCAAAAATGAAAATACAAATGAAGAAATGATTGAAATTCTAAAGCAATTGCAATCATACTTGCCAAAACAGTCAATCGGCAATGAGACCAAATTCGACCCTCAAGTCTTTGCTGGAGATCAGCTTACTGTGGAACGAGCAATAAATGTCATCCAATCTGTGATGAATGGATACACACCAGAAGATCGCCTTGAAGGCATTATTATGCAGCTGGGTGATTGGCATGCCGGACTCAAAATACTTTCAGTGAGTCAACAAATACTTTGAAAGAGTATTATGTACAGTATTAACCTTTTTAAGTTCTAATGTGCTTATTCTGTCTAACACCATTCGATTTTACTTGTCATAGGGAAAGGCTTATCAAGTTCTCTCAGCTAGCTTACTGTATTTCTCTTAATATTTACCTTAACCCATTGAGTGTCAAACTCTTCCCCAAACGAGTAAAATCATATGGCGTTAGACAGAGTAAAATAGTCTGGCATTTGACAGAGTAAAATAATAAAGTGTGGCACATCTGGGTGCATTGTCACTTAAAGGATTAACAGAGCTAGTGCATGTGCAGCTAGCCTGATTAACACATTGAATGGCAGCAATCTCCCCCCCCCCCCTATTAAATAAAGTGGGATGCAAGGGTTAAGCAACCTAGTTTGGTATATTACTCTACCAAATAAAAAAATTACTTGCCATTGTTATTGCATGGTTAGAACGTTAACTACAAAAGTAGACTGCACCTCATGGCACCTTGGTGTTTGATGATCAATTTCATGATTAATGTCTATTATAGCATACCTTCAAGCATGTTATATCTTTTATTGACAGATGATATATGAGCGTTTCTACTCAGTCAAGTCAGATGGAGACATTTGCACAATGTATTCAGACAGAACATTAATTAATCGTAGAAATGTAGTAAATGATCCAAAGAATGCATATGCTGCAAATCGAGATTTTTTTATACTTGAGGTGAAAGCAAGAGTTATTGCAGCAGCGATGGAAGTTTTGGGATTTCAATCGAAGTCAGGAGCACCAACCAAATTCCCTATTCCAGAAGACCTAGAAGACCAGACCACATCAGAAAAACGAAAATATCTTCATAAAGCTGCAAGCAAGATTGTGGAGAAAATCATCTTTTCTGAAGAAGACACAAACAACCTCATAAGTGGCATCCTGAACATGCAAGATAAAGAAAATGCGATTAAGAATCAGCAGTTGACAAATGATGGCAGATTCCCATGCCGTTTTAGTGGATGTACTCTATCATTTAAGTATGATGGAAAGAGTAGGCGTAAACACGAGCTCACCCATCACCCACCACCTGTGATCCCACATGCACCAGAGCCAACCAATACCACTGCAGAAGAGTCTTCACTTAGCGATGAAAGCTTGATGAAAGATGACATTTATAACTATAACTGTGGTCTTCTTTCACATGGCATGACATTTCTAAACTTTCTTGACGCTGTGAAAGAGGGTGACGGGCGTCGTATAATGAGGCAATATAAGTACCTTCTACTGTACTGCAAAGCTGATAAACACAGTAGCAAGTATGCCCTTGAGTGTCTTTATCAAATGTTTCTAATAAACACTATATTGTCCCCCAGAGATGCTCATAGATACATCTGGAACAGGGGTGTCAATAACCATGGTATGTTGGGGAAAAATATCCCATTGGATCTGGAGGTGGAACACAGCAACCACTACTTGAAACAAGCTGTGAAGAACTTGGGGCCCAATGTGAATCCTGCATCAATTTCTCGAATATGCAAATCTGAGAAATGTACCAGGACAATAATAAACACTTTGCAAGAAAGTGTTATGAAAGGCTTCAAATCTGGCAAACACACGAATAAAAACGATGATGAAGATTTAAAAACAATTGTTGATAAGCTTGTGGAACATCATGCATTTGTGAAGCAAAATGCTCGTACATATCATAGTTTCAACAATATTGATAGAAACCCGCTATTGGGCCTTGATATATCAATGGTTTACAAGTGGATCAATGAGCACAAAGAAAATATAAAGAAGAACACAAAAGCAAGATAAACTGAAAATAATAAATCTTACTAATTGTGGTTGTCTTCCGATCCACACTCATTCAACCATTGTGGGTGCATGGGGGAAGGACATTCAGGTATTCGGTAATCTGATTTTTGCCTTTTTCATATTCTATAATATAGCATGTAATATATAACACATGCTCTGATTGGTTGAAACCAGCTGTGTTTTGGATCAGACCATCCAAACACGGAAGACTAAAATGTTGTTGTTATTTTATAAAACAATTACTTTATGGTTTCTGTGTTTGGATGACCTGATCCATACACACGGGAATGTTGCAAGAGTTAAGAAAAGCGAGCAAAATTACGAGCCGAAGGCGAGTATATTACAGTACAATTAGTCATTTTTGAAAGACTGTGGTTTGTTTCTGAAGCCTTGTAATAAACAATTTAACATCCGAAGTTTTTTGTTCATTAATTTAACAAAATTTACCAAATATTGTAGATTCTCAGGTACCTTTGAATGCCCCTCTCCCATATACATATTATTTGCAATACTGACATGTTAACAAGTATTAAAAAGAAAGTAATAGTATACCGTAGTATAACACCACAACATACCTATTAATTGCCGGATAAAACAATGTAACCACTGATTAAATCCATTTGTTCTTAACTGTATACAGTTTTACGTTTATGGTTTCAATTAGAAAGATTCTTCAATGTTTTCATTAGAGTCATTGTCATTCAAATGGAAAATGGATAGGTTTTCCAGAGCCATGTTTAAAAGATCAGAATCGTCAAGAAAGCATGCCCATTCGTCATTTATATCTTCTTCATCAACATTGTCATCATCATCATCAAATGTAGGTATTAATAAATTACATGCACCAGTTATACAAGTATTTTCATTGTTATCAAAAACGTTACAAAGCATCAAGTAGATGGAATGTGCATGGTTATGATGCCAAATTTCAACAAATTTGTAAACATCATCAACGGAAAAAATAGACCCACAACGTTCTAACACTTGATTCATTTGAACTTGCCCAAAGCCAATCACCATTTGTGGAGAAATATGTAAATGCATTTGGCCCATTGATACCTTTCCAATTACATCCATTAAGAGCTTCTTTTGAAATTTCAATAGTTCTTCTTTTAGTTTCTGGTAATGTGTAGAAGTGACTTCCCTTATTACATTAGAGATAGGAAGTTCAACATTAAGTTGAGAAGGATTTGCCAAAATACCAGGATAGATAGAATAAGATTTGCATTGTGTCATATCCCACACATGCAATTCAAAGCACAAATATCACAACACAAGTGTGCAGGCTGTGGGGACTGGACATTACCAACTGAAATTCCAAAATGGCTCAACAAACTCTTTCTTCTACATTCTGTAGTTTTTAAATATTCCTTGATGTTGTTTTCTACATGACCCAGTAAAATTCCTTGATAGATAATATATGACTTGCTAAGCTGTCCATCTCTTCCTATTCTTCCACTTTCTTGTATGTACGATTCCACATTCTTTGGTGGACCAAAATGTACTGATGTGTGAACCCTTTTGCAGTCTATACCCTTCCCAAAAGCAATTGTTGCAACCAATGCCTTGACTGTACCATTAGGATCTTGAAATGATTTGATAATGTTGTCCTTGTTAGCTTGTGGTGTACATGAATGAAGCATTTCTAACACAGCACTTTCAACTGATTGTCCAGAATGAAAATGTTCACCAAGACAAGCCCTGAGTTTAGAATAAACAACACTACATTGCAGGGTCTTAGCTAGGATTTTAGATCTTGGGCATGTTTCTAAATGACCAGGGTGTGCATATTTGTAGTTACATATATTATATGCTCGCCAAGAACAGACAGTGTCTGCATGTAGTTGTTGTATGCTTTGCAACCAAATACAAGGCTAGCTCACATTGCGTACTGACATTAAAATATTAAGTTATTTCAGCAACTCTTGGGGGTATTTAAAACCATTTTAATACCATGTGGTTCCCATTATCCATCAAAACATTAAAACATCACGGATCACTTTTTCCAAATTCAACAACTACAGTAGATTTTAGAAACTTTCTTACAACGTAAATGGGAAGAAATTCTGTCTGTTGTAAGTAGCAACACCTTAGTTTATGAACCTACACGGCCTTATATGAATAATGAAGCCACGTTCATTTTATCTAGCCGTGTTTTTCCATTTTTGGCCGCGATAACACGGCCAACACGGCCCTCTAGCTAAGACCCTGCTACATTGCTTGATGGTTTGGCAATAAATGATAACTCGTTCTGCGGAACTTCCCATGTTAATGATTTCATCAACAATCCATTGAAAAGTATCATCAATTCTATGCGATTGTTGGATGTAGGTAACAGAATACATGACATTTTTCTTGTTGGGACTTTCTTGTACCTCTACTGGATTATTCATACACAAAGTATCCAAGATAAATTTCTTAGTATCAAGAGTAGCAGTTGCTGTAAGTGCAATGAAGCTTACATCTGGTGACAATAGGGCTCGAAGCTCATGCAGGCGACCATATGCTTCACGGAATGCTGCATATTTAGAGCTTGATGATGTTCCCCTAAAACAATATTAAACCACATATTAGTCTTGCTAGCTTCGTGTGTATTTTATAATGGCAGACAATTTTACTTGTCATTAATAAGATTCTTGAACATAAACAAGTCAACCATTAGTCATTAATGAATGTATTCAGTTGGACAAAAGCTAATTACATGCAGTGGCAGTCTCAGTTTATACTATAAAGCACCAGTATATTGATTACAAGGAACGAACTTGGCCAGGGATAAAATGTCAACTGCTAAAATACCAATGACCCCATCATAATTTATCATTTTATTTTCAATTGTTATTAGTACTTATTAACCATTTACAGTATTTATTTGGTATTGTTTTAACAGGACTAAAACATTTAATATACGATACCCCCCCCCCCCCCATTAGCAATTTCTTAGGGTTTACACAGAGGGTTTGAGGCTAATGAAGGTTCATATTTACTGAGGACGAGCCCTGTCAAGTTTTTTTGTGAATGGTAATATATAAAATATTTTATATCCTCCCCTTCACAAAAAAAAACTTGATAGGGCTCATGGAGTTAAGAGTAGAAAATGCAATTTTTTCTTAGGGCCTCTTAGGGGTTGGGTATATGAGTATAATACCCAAACTGCAAGATTATTAATAAGGCCACTCCAAATTAGACTTTAGTTTCCCGTCCTCCGCCCGCGTCTCATAGAACTGGCCGCATGATTTGTCCATTATTGCGAAGTTGTTTCCATTATTTGACTTTTGTGACAAACAATTACGAAAATCCACAGTTTTTCAAATAATCTATCGTTCAAGAAATACATATTTATGATACAACACGTAAAAATCGAAATAAAATTCTTGAAACTTTTATCAAAGAGCGTGAATTTTTTTCCGTTTTCACTACGATCTGCTGAGCTACACACTTCGGTTACAAGTTTTGATTTTGAACGTCAAAACCGATAAGGTTAATATCCTGGCTTTCATTTCTGCATACAAAAAATTTAAAACATCGCGTAGAAACGTGGCCGAATGGATATTTAAAACGAGTATCTATTTCATGAAATAATGGGCCGTGTTTCATCTTTGAGACACCATAATGGATAATGGAAATGGACCGCCCGCCCGCGTGTAATTTGAAATAAGGGCCGGACGGGAAACTAAAGTCTAATTTGGAGTGGCCTAATGGTAGTATTTAAAAAATAGAAATCAGAGGGTTGGGATGTGTATATTGACAATAATGGCTCATATATACTGTATAATATTGTTAGTACGACATTCAATGCCAATAGATAATATGAGGCAACGTATAAAAAGACAAATTCAAGACATACAATACATACCATTGTTTAATCACATGTGCTTCATCAATAGCCACAGCACAAACCATTTTGCTGTACACTTTGTTGGAAAGCATTCTTCTCCATCGTTCGGTCTTCAATAATGCCTCTGGTGTGCCATATACTACAGAACATTTCCCTTCTTGCAATGCCTTCTCTTCTTCGTCGCTCTCGATTTCACTTAACGACACAGCACTGACTCCTAAATCGCGTAGCTTCTTTACTTGATCTCGCATCAAATTAATCAAAGGCGAAACCACGATAACTACATGTTTACCACCAAATTTTTCATCGAATAGCTTAGGTAACGCTTGATAAATGAGTGATTTTCCTGCGCCAGTTGGGAGATTAACAAAAACATCCTTCCTTTCGTTTATGATAGAATGAATAGCCTTTTTCTGATGAACAGTAAAACTTTCAACTTTAAAAATATTGCAGATTTGTTGATAATGGCCTTCCATTTATCTTGCCGTGTTGGGTTTTCCATGTGAAGGTCATTGAAGGTCGATCTTCCAATTATCGTGTAGATAATTGTGATTGGTCAATTGCCGGGAAGTCAAATGCATAGCGAATGTGAGCAGACGTTAGGTGAGGCCTCGGGCCACTAACAACGTCTGCGCAGGAGGCTAGAAATTGACAGGCTCGAACGGTTTGGGGCTCTCAATTTCCCGTTTGTAATCTAAAATGACTGAAAATTGCAAATTTCGCAAGGCTATATTTTCCGCATTTTACAACATTTTGCAACGAAACTTTGAAATATTACTAATTTTGAGATGCCCCTTCAAGCTGTTATGAAATGTTTGTCTAGATTTGTTTAGTTCAAAATTTAGTCTATTACGCAAATGGTCAATTGACTACCCGATTTACCTGCAGATTTAAGTGGCTGTCTCACTAAGAACCATGCAGAGCGTTTCAAGTTGAAAATTAGATTTGCTTTATATTTTTACCATGAACTACCTTTGTCCTAAAAGCTATTAAACTAATTTTAGAATTTCTAAATTTTTCTTATTTTTAGACTTATGACGAATTTTTGTCTGGACGTCAGCGACACTGAAATTTGACCCCGAAAACGGCGGTCAAATGTGTGTTAAATTATGCGTCATAACTCGGAAAGTTTCGCGTCAAATCCAAAACTTTTTCAGCGTATTGAGACATATTCTTCTTCTTTTAGAATGTTGAAAGAATTTGAATGTACATCTTATGTTAAGCCTACTAGTCTCCATCCAAGGAAGTCGGCATTTTCGTTCGCCGAACAACTAATGATTAGGTACAAAATTCAAACTAAAAATTCTCAAAAGTGCAACCTACCTGGTGTCTAAAACACTTTTAGGGTTAAAGTAGAATACTTAGAGTTATGTTATTCGTAATAAAACTTGTCGGCAAAAGGAATATGACGGAGTGCAAAATTCATAAATTATGGCTATAAATAGCTCTATTGTTTACCTTTGTGATAACCGGAAACACGTTCAAGGTTGCTCGCGCAGTTTTTATAGCGACTAATATATTGCACAATCATTGTATTTATAAACTCAGAAATGTTTAATTCGATCGATGAAATGCGACGGATCTTTGAGGTCTAAAACGGTCAGAAGAAATAAATTCGTCTAGGACGTTGTATGCCTCATGACCGGACAGGTACAATGCCAATGTCGAAAATGTGTGTTGGCGAATCGTCGCATCGAATTAATAAATCCATGAACTTGTTATTATATTCTGTTAAACGTTTTCCGCATTGCCCATTTGGCAGAATTTTTGGCAGAAATGCAAACCATTCACTTCATCGTATAAAACGATCTTAGTTGCATTGACATTGACTAGCTTCGACGTATACTGAGATCTGTCCTTTATCTTTAATCTATACAGCAATAATAATAATTTTACAGTAGTTTGCAGCTAAATTCGCCATTCTGTGAATAACTTTCAACTTCAATTGGCATTTTTCGGCAAAATTTGATTTGTCTCATAATAGTAGTATAAATTATAGCAATAAAAAATACATAACATCGTAGTTTGCATGCGGCGTTTCTAGTACTTGATTTGGGTTAACGACACTGCTCCAGGCTCCACACATGCACTCGCGCACCAAGAACAATAGGGAGTTTACGCATGTAAGACGGCAACATCAGGACGAAGGCTATCAATACAATATCATTAATCCTATAGCACAAAAGAAATGAATAATTAGAAGTATATCTGGAGTTTCAGACGTCGTCTGTGTGCTCTGTTGACGACGGCGAAATGCATTATTTTCACGTCTTGTAAAGTACACTAGCATTTCAAGCTGTGGCAGGCGATTTTTCTAACAGCGTTGATCAAAATTGCTCTGAAGGTTAAAGCTCTGTTTTACTCGTTCTAAACTGTATTAAATTCATAAGAAAGTAAATACAGGACAACATTTTCATACATTCATTTATTTCAAAAAGTTTGTTTAGCCGTCGTCCTGACGCCGCCGTTGTACATGCGTGAACTCCCTAATCACATTTCTCGACATGTCCAAGTTTATAGTCCGGGAATATTTGTCCGCACCTGCACAGTTTAGTTATTTATTTGGAAACATGTGCATTGCCCAATCATGGATGATATTTTATCTATGAGAGTGTTTTTTATCCTTTGATTTGAACTGAAGTTCAAAATGCGCACAAATTTCTTTCAGCATCGTTATTTTAAAAACAGATATAGGCTCTTCTGTTTGTACATGTATAACATAAATCATACGCGTCGTGGTATTATAACATGGCATACGTCGATCTCAGCAAGCATTTTCCACAAGTTGTCAACACGCATTTCTCTTTGTGCTTTCGCCTCAAAATGAAGAACACGTAAACTTACGCATTCTCCTTCATGAAGAACACGTAAACTTACGATAGTTATCTCCAGTTTCTCTTGCGTCATTAAAGTACTAATTCAACACTTCAAGAAGTAAAAGTAGCGTAATACTTACGAGATCCTATTTGAATTAATTTCCCATAAAGAGAAAAAACTGTTTTTGATAATGACACATTGAAAACATCTCTTCTTGTACACTAAGAATGGAGGGAATACTGGCACGGTCTTATAGGGGCCTCCAAAATCGTCCCAAATTATGACGGTGGGACGGACAAATAAACATAATCTTAAACTGGTCTTCGGTAAGATTGAACATTCCCGCGCGAATAGCAATTAACTCGTTCTCTCTCAAGTTCGATTTAGAAAGATGACAGTTTGATAGTTGACCACTCATATCTTCAAAAACCATGACCAGCCGACAATTTAAAAAAATAAAGTAAAAAACAAATTCCGAAAATACAGGACATCTTGAGAATTCAATATATAATTCAAAACAAGACGCAGTTTGAGACTGTAAATTTTCGACTTTATTTCAAAGTCATCTTCAGACAGAATGAAATACAATACTTTACAACACACATATATATATATATATATATATATATATATATATATATATATATATATATACAACGCAGAGAGAGAGAGCATCTGTCATGTGGGCGGAAGGAAGGATTTTCCAAGCGAAGCGAAACATGATAAAGAAGATGGTAATAACTGAAAATGGAATATCTAGCTTATTTACAACAATGTTTAATATATTAGAAGGATTGAGGTAGAAAGGGAAAAACCCGACATGTAGAAGAAGATTAAGTTAAAGTGTTATGTGAACAGTTGTAGTTCTTTACTAGCTTTAAGTCCAGTGTTAAGAAAAGGTTTGTTGTGTTTGATAAGCAGTGCTTCAAGAAAAGCAAGAATGTTGTAGTTGTTAGATTTTGTAATGTGAAGTATTCTGTAGCTGTTGAAAACAAGGTTTTCAATAGGAGAAGAGTTGTCAGAAGGCGAAGGAAGATCGTTGAGTAATGTGAACTGGTCTTGTAAAGTAGCTAAGAATTGAGTATGTTCACACTCAGAAAAATGTTGGCCCACTGCACTAGAAGAGAGCCTAGTTGCATGCTCTTTCAAACGTACAGAAAGGCATCTTTGTGTCATGCCAATATAGGTTTCTTGGTTTCTTGGTTTCTTGGTTTCTTGGTTTCAATATAGGTTTATAGGTTTCTTGCTTTTCTTGAAGCACTGCTTATCAAACACAACAAACCTTTTCTTAACACTGGACTTAAAGCTAGTAAAGAACTACAACTGTTCACATAACACTTCAACTTAATCTTCTTCTACATGTCGGGTTCTTCCCTTTCTACCTCAATCCTTCTAATATATTAAACATTGTTGTAAATAAGCTAAATATTCCATTTTCAGTTATTACCATTTTCTTTATCATGTTTCGCTTCGCTTGGATAATCCTTCCTTCCGCCCACATGACAGATGCTCTCTCTCTGCGTTGTATATATATATGTGTTGTAAAGTATTGTATTTCATTCTGTCTGAAGATGACTTTGAAATAAAGTCGAAAATTTACAGTTTCAAACTGCGTCTTGTTTTGAATTATATATTGAATTCTCAAGATGTCCTGTATTTTCGGAATTTGTTTTTTACTTTACTCATATCTTCCTTAGGCCTACAATCAAATACGGAACTAATCTACTGTAATCCACGACTTTCACCACAAGAAATTCCACCAACACCAACACCAACAAATGAACAACTTTTCTCCATAATCAAAACTAAACTAGTAAGCTTCTAGAAATATCTAAAAACGGCACTTCTTTGCGTTAATTTTCTGTTAAACAAAACAGGTGTGGAAAGTACAAAGGAACACTGTCATTGATATTATTTAAGAAGTAAGTTATACTCCAATAATTAGTTTTAACAATGGCACATTGAAGAACAAAAACAGCTTGTATACATTGCGTCTGCTATTATTTTCTGCTATTATTTTCGTGGTTTTTTATTATCATTTTATAAATTGGAGAAACTTAAAAATTGGCTACAAACGTAATCCCCTTGGCGTACAGACTACAGACAATAACTCCCGAACGTTTGATCAAGATTAAATTTGCGAGATTAAATTGTTTGTTGAAGAATTAACACGCGAAAAATAACTATCCATGTATAGCAAGTTAACTATAAAGTCTAGTATATTGTTGCTTTCGTAATATAGCGTGTATTCTATTTATGTCACACTCATCAGTACATATTAAACAACGATAATATATTGTACATTAATCATTATGTTGGCGTGCAACTATTTAATTTAGTAAATTTAATCAAGTTTAAAACGATCAATTGTAAAGGCTTTCCGAAAGCTTAAAAAAATTACAAGGCGGTGTTTGTATTCAAATATAAGAACTTATGAACACTATTTTATATTTATAGTAATTGCTGATATAAATTTATAAAAGCTCCGCGAGTAACGTTCAACGTGTTTCCGGTTATCACAAACGTAAACAATAGAGCTATTTATAGCCATAATTTATGAATTTTGCACTCCTTTATATTCCTTTTGCCGACAAGTTTTATTACGAATAACATAACTTTAAGTATTCTACTTTAACCCTAAAAGTGTTTTAGACACCAGGTAGGTTGCACTTTTGAGAATTTTTAGTTTGAATTTTGTACCTAATCATTAGTTGTTCGGCGAACGAAAATACCGACTTCCTTGAATGGAGACTAGTAGGCTTAAAATAAGATGTACATTCAAATTCTTTCAACATTCTAAACGAAGAAGAATATGTCTCAATACGATGAAAAAAAATTTTAATTTGACGCTAAACTTCCCGAGTTATGATGCACAATTTAACACATATTTGACCGCCGTTTTCGGGGTCAAATTTCAGTGTCGCTGACGTCCAGACAAAAATTCGCCATAACTAAAAAAAAAGTTTAGAAATTCTAATATTAGGTTAATACCTTTTAGGACAAAGGTAGTTCATGGTAAAAATATAAAGGAAATCTAATTTTCAATCCAAAACGCTCTGCATGGTTCTTAGTGAGACAGCCACTTAAGCACCGCCCCTAACTGAGCACCGCCCCCGATTAAACGCCGCATATGATAGCAACATTATTGAGTCCCGCCATGGAATAAACACCGCACGTTAATCACAACAACATGCAAGGCGCTTAATCGAAACACCGTTGGAACATTGTTCGCGATGCCCAATTTCGGAAGGAAAGTGCATATGAAATTGCAATTTTTGTAAAGCCTCGAGGCGACTTTTCCTGCATTTATGGAGGCTCCCTACGGTAGCTGGCGGGATGTTCACGGGACCAGTAAGTGAACTTTCTCACGCAACCGCATGATCAAAACAAATTTAAAACAAAAATTAACATGGCTTTTTTTTAAAAAGCAATTTCGGAAAGGTTTCTAATAGAAAAAAGCGTTGAATAATACTTCGTCTTTAGTGCTAAATCACTTGCGAGTCTATACAGAAATTCTACATGTGATACAAATGTCACTTGACCAAAAAATAACTACGAAACAGTGTTTTAAAATTTTTTTAAATATACACTGTCAACTGTAAAACATTTGCCAAATTGGATACAAACGTTTAAAAAGTTGTTTACTTCTAAGAAAACGTTCACGTTTTTAGTCGTGTTTCTACAAGATTAAAGTGATTATTACCCTGGATTCCAGAGCCTTCGACAGTAAATAATAAATTGAAATGTCGCGAAGGCTCTGGTTCAACGGGGCGATTCTTTGATTAAACCGCGCCAATCACAAAACAGAATTAGTGGTTTTAGTACAGATTCTGTACTAAAACCACTAATTCTGTTTTGTGATTGGCGAGGCTTAATCAAAGAATCGCCCCGTTGAACCAAAGCCTTCGCGACATTTCAATTTATTATTTACTGTCGAAGGCTCTGGAATCCAGGGTAAGTGATTATATGTAAATTGAAAAATATTTCAGTTTCATAGCCTAATTGTTTATTTTTAGCAAAAAGTACAAAACCAAACATGGAACAAAAAAACACGTCATACAGCTCATAGATTGAGTAAACGGTAGGGTTCGATTAGCTTTAACCCTAAAGTGGTTTTGTTGTTTTCATCGATTTGATCCTTCACAATAATCATTGGCTGTCCATGACTCTCAAATAAATCGAAAAGTTGACAAAAACAAAACAGTAAAAACAACATTGCCGCTCGATTTTGCTGAATGAAAGCTCGTTCTGCGCCCGCGTACAGTCTTTTACTAGTCAGCGACGCTTTTCAATAAGGGGAATTTCTCGAGTTACACGAGGCTATTTTCTAACTTTATTCGCATTTTACTCATTAGATTCATCGGTGACCTATCTTCAAATTTTGACCACAAATTTATTTTGCGGTAAATTTTATAAATTTCAATTTTTAAAAAATCTTTAGTGTGGAAATTTCGCAATAAAATTTTCGCTTTTAAAAAAAGCACACACTACAGAATTTTTTTTAACTTTCACCACAGTTGCAGAGCATCATTCCCTATTGATAAACGAAATAAAAAATAGGCTAGGTCACCGACATGATTTCTGAAATAGCGGCACATTTATGGGTTAAATTGGAAGGCTTTATGCTGTCGTCATATTGCCATGGAACACTGACGTTGTCGAAATCTAGTTTGAATTATTCCTTAGGTGACTAAGGCCACTATTTGTTGCATATTAGTTTCTCATCCGGGACTTCACCTAAAGTTGATGCGTGCGGGCGGGCCATTACCATTATGCCATTATTTGCCAGATTTCCCCCTCTCCGTAAATATTACTTTGAAAAAGTGCGCAATTAGCATTTATAGCATTGCAAAACAGCAGAAAATTAGTGAGTGCAACTGAAACTATGTTTTCATATTAAAAACATGGCCACATGTGAAATAATCACAGAATAGAGAAATCATTTTGTAGCCAAGTCGTCTCGCGTTTTTTCCCCTGCCCCTAGCTTCCGGTAGAACTTTTACGTGAATGCGAGAGAAACTGGCAGTTTTGGTATGAAATTTCGTATCGTAACTAAATCTTTTGGTTTGGGAACGTTTCTAATAGTCTTTCTTTCAAATATCATTTTGAAGACATCACAAAATTTATAATAATGGTCAAAAATGGCAATAATGGCAATAATGGCGAACAAGACCATTTTCTTAAAAAGAAAGCGGGCGGGGATGAGAAACTAATATACAACAAATAGTGGCCTAATATTGCCACCAAGTCGAAACGAATTCGCGTTCCGCACGAATGAACCAGTTTTACGAAATTATTGCGTAAACAAGAATAACTGCATGTGGGGAGCTTCCCTAAAGTGCTATATTATGCCGGCATTTCGCTGCTAATATGTTGTCGCCTAAAAATAAAATATTTTACAATGTGCGTCACGATTGCCCTCAAATGAGCGCCGCCTTATATTAAGCGCCGCATGCCTACATAACACTACTTATAAGAGCGCCGCTGTGCCTATACGAGTAAATAAGATATTACTAAGAAATCTTTCAATGTAATTAGAGAAGAGATTGTCTATTTGGCGTGGGTGGGTGGGTCGTGCGTCGTGGATCGTGCGTCGTGTGTCGTGCGTTAGTAAATCGCAAAAATAATTTAAAACCGAACTATACCATGAACTGCCAAAATTTTGCACGAATCTTTTTAGCTATATGCCACATCTCTATTAACTATGACCACATTGGCAAAAATGCTGGTAGATTCGCTGAACTTGTGGGTGGTTGAATTTAATTACAGTATTTTAACTTGTAAAAGACATCGGTGACCTCCAAATTTAGGCTGTTGCGGTAATCGATATACCAATAATTATCTTTTTTTTATCAAACTACCGATTACTCGATATTGGAATTTTCAATATATCGGAATATCTATATCAGTTTCCGTTTGTATATTTAAACGTCATATGAAGCTTTTTCAAGCGCTGATTGAAGTTATTTCAAAAGGACAAATACAATCAATGTGCTAACTCGATCCGCGGGAAAATCCGTCAATTAAGGTTAGAGCGCGATCTAAAACGTGTTTGTTATACGTTTATACGTTGGCGTACGTTGCAAGGTACGGTGATATGTCATTTCGCTTAGATATAGGTAATATGTCATTTCGCTTAGATATAGGTAATATGTCATTTCGCTCGTGAACTTTTAGAACGTAAACAACGGTGGGTTAGGGACCGCTCATTATTTATTGTACAGGGGGGGCTGCCTCGTCCCTCGTCGCTTCAGTTGGGAATAGAGATCAGTGGAAAAACAATGGGAGCGCGGTGCTTAATGGGAATGCGATAGAATCTGAAGCGACTCGGAAATCCCGCATCCAAGATGGCGTCGATCAAGTATAAATGGCCGAGATAATGCAAATAGGGAGCATTTTTCAAGGTCGTTATGTATGGCGAGGAAACGTTAAAGTACATTTCCTGTTTATTGAATAAGGCTACGAAGGTATCTTCATTTACATTTTACATATTTTACGCTCAAAAATGTATCAATTGTCGCAATTTATTAATATATGTGCATATTTAAAAATATCGATCTTGTTTTGACTGTTGTAGAGTGTATAGGTAGACATTGGCAACTAGTTCTTAGTTCGACGTTTCTGGAGAAGGAACGTTATTTCCATATTTGGCCAAGATCCGAAAGAAGTTGCCAAAATATACGGAATGTTTCTTTTGCACTCTGTCAAACTAAAGACATACGCTGATGAAAATAATCCCTGTCGAATCTCAGGTAAAATATTGTTAAATTAATTTCTATTAACCAATCATTTTATAGCCTTTGCACCATGTTCAAGTAGCAAGGTTAAGGATGCCACCTTGAATATATTGTTAATTGTTTTCACCATTGTGTTTGCATAATTGCATCCCTTGCAAATAAGAAAATTTACCTATAAGGAATTTTATTGTTTGCACCCCTTGCAGGAAGGGTCTATGCCAAAGTCTATTGTTTTCAGTTTTACCATACTGACTTGGTTTTATTAATGCAATTTTCAAACAAACCCTTGTGCACTTACCTACCAATCAGCGTCAGGTTTGAGTGATTCAAACAGTGATAGTAGTCATAGTACCTTAAAAAAGGCCTGCTATACATAGGGATATCCCTCTTATGAGGCAAACCCAGCTTTCGCAGAAACATCCCCCATGTTTGAACCTCTTTTAGCATACTTTTCTTATTAATAATTTCATTGGGGAAGAAACATAGGTGGGTGGGGCCTAGCCAGGTACCAATTAGATCATGTATCAAGGTTGTCAGAACTCAGAAGTGGGGGTGGGGCAGCATAAGCCCCCCCCCCATCTTCCATTTGTATGAGCAAACACATACAAAAGAACTGAAAAGTGCAAAAGCAATTCAAATTTATTCTTGAGACCCCATCCCAATATTGATTTACTTCCGACAGCCTTGTGTATATACATGTAATAAGTTTTCAAAAATATCAGATTTTCTAAGAAGATCTTTTCTTCTAGGCTACTAAAGAAAACAAGAAATGAAACAAGATGGAATGAATATTTATTAAATTACAGATTTTGATACAAATTTAATTATGATACAAATTTATCTATTGTCTGAATATTATAAAAAGTACTCAGGCCAAATAAAAATAATAGTTGGCTTCAGGTTTCTGACCGACCTGTCAAAAATATGACCGACCATAAACATATTATTGACATTTCCCAGTAGGGATCATCTTTTCGTAAATATCAGAATATATAAATAGTCATCAGACTCATTTGCTACAAAGTATTATGTTTGCTCATAATTTAATCATTATCTAGTCATGGTAACCCTTGATGCATTTGTTTCTCGCAAAACATGTGTAGCTCGCGGTTGATCCCGTGTGGCACGTCCGATTATGTGTGACAGTTACTCATAAACAACTTATATTTATTGCATACTTGAGATAAAATATTTTTTTTAAATAAAATGCTTTTCCAACCTACCTACCCATATAAAACATGGCTGTGAAACCTGAAACCAACTATTATGTTTATTTGGCCTCAGTAATATAAGTACAAAATATGTACAAAATGCTCTACAATCTACAGACATATGTCACCATTTATTATAATCATATCTTCAAGGAACTTGTAAACATAATATTGCACAGATCTGTAAAAAAATGCTTTCATTGTTAATTCAGAGCAGGCACAGATTTTCTGGGTGTTGTGTGTGTGTGTGAGGGGGGGGGGGATGTGCGCACCCTCCCAGAAATGATTTGCACCTCCCAAAGGCATTTGGCACCCCCGCAAATTACATATATTTCGATTTGATAGTTTCATATTTGATTATTCTTACTACTAAATTTGTAAAATTACCAATATTATGGTCTCAGATCTCGCCATGCAGGCCTAAAAAAAATTTTGTTAAACTTTTCCCTTGGCCTTTCCGGGCGTTGCCACCACGCCCCGACAAAGCAAGCAGCAGCACCCTCCCCAGATATTATACACCCCCTGAACAAAAATATGAAAATCCGTCTCTGACTCAGAGGGAAATAAGTATTATTTTGTGTTAGTAGTAGTGGGATGGATCCACTTGGGGGTATTGGGGGAGGGGATTCTGTGTGAAATCCTTGGCAATTATCAAACAAAATAATAAAGGGATGGATTAATTAACATAGTTTTTTTAAGATTTTATATTATTAAGCTTTGTTAGTTAGCATCACGACTCGGCTTTTACTTTCAATATGATGATCTTGAGTACATACAATCATCGTGTATCATTGATAATATCAAAATATTGCCCAGCCCTATTTACTGGTGATGACGTGGTAATGCTGAACCTGAGGGGGGGGGGGTGTCTAGGTAAAACACATAGGTTAAAATAAATCCATAACATGGAGGCCTGTTCAGAACTCCTAAACCTCAAATGCCGATGACTAACCAAGGAGCTAGAACCCTAGATCCCCATTGGCTAAAAAATTTTCATTAAAAAAATTATCATTCAGCATGCATATTTCAGATATTGCTATTTTAAGCAAAAGTGAAAAGTCTTACACATTTGGCAAAAACAAAGAGTAACTTAACTCTTAAGACCAACATAAAATATATTCGTTTTTGGCAAAACGGTTAGACGAGGGCGGTTCAGTTCATGTTTCCCCTGAGCTTGACTTTATATTTGTTGACAACTTGACATGTTAATTGGCGTATAATTATTTATATAAAATAGCGCGTGGAAATTATTCTGCAGAATTAAATAAAAATAATCCGTATTATGGAGTATTTACCCAGCTTTTACGAAGTTGTAACTTGAAAAGGTACAATCACTTTTATGAAACAGTATAAAACAAGAAAACCTAATCAAAATCTGGCCTATATATTATATTTTTACAGTCGAAGGGTCAAAGGCATGTTGCTATATTAAAAATGTCAACACTCACCATCATCGTCTTCAAGAGATAAATATTCAATTAATATCTCTAATTCCTCGCACGATTCAGACAAAACACTTCCCATGTACAGCGAAGCAAAACATCCACGATTTCTTCCAAATTCGACGAATTTTGAGGTTTTCGAGCACATTTGCAAGTTTTCGAGTGTTTTTGCAAGTTTTCGAGTCACGATTTCACAGTCCCTCAAATCAGCGCTGCTCAAATTACGCGACCGCGCGTACAAATGAGGGACTGTGGAAGAGTCAGCAGGGGGGATTGAGGAGAAACTGGGCGGGCCATTAAATTTTTTTAAACCTGAAAGGGGGGCTTTGAAAAAATACAGAAATTAGTTTTAAAAATGTATCACAAAACAACTTAACAACAAATAACAATGCTTATAGACCTTTAATATTAATTTTCTTATAAAATGGAAGCCAAATAAATAAATAGACAATTCACATTATAGACTAATTTTAAAACTAGGTAAAGAGATGCAAATAAATCACCACAGCTCGAAAGAGCTTACTAAAATTTGTAAAATTGCAAAGTTTGGTTGCGAAATGTTGTAAAATATGGAAAATATAGCCTTGCAAAGTTTGAAACTTTGGTATACTTTGTATTGCATTCGGAAATTGCTGTTGGCCGCACACAATACAAAAGTATACAAAATTTGGAAGGCTATATTTTCCACATTTTGCAACCAAAATTTGCAATTTTACTAATTTTAGTATGCTCTATCCAGGAATATACTTTTTTTGATAAGTAAAAAATTAACCTATAATGGGAATTGTCTCATTGCAGGTCCCCATTATCTATTTTTGTTTCTCCAAAATAAAGAGCTAGAGTGGGGGGAGGGGCACCAAAATTTATGTTCTTGTTTTGCCTGTTGGAGGGGGCTTTGAAAATTCTACTTGTCTTAAGAGGGGAGCAACGAAAAATATTGTAACTGTAGAGTTTCTCCTCAGTCCCACTGTACAATAAATAATGAGCGGTACCTTACAGATGTTTTAGAAAAACAAGAACTAACCTCATTGGACATTGTTAGTTTTCTGGTGATATAGGACGATCTTTGTTTCAAACTCGCAGTTGAATAAAATGTTTTGAAACAATTTCCCGGACAAAAATATCACACATGTTTCATCCGGTGCGGTAATCAATGCTAATATTAAGTAATATGCATTTTCAATTCGTAAAGCGGACACATCACAGGCTACTGATCACTGGCCTCACACTTTATTGAAAATATCACGCACCCGATGAGTCAAAGCTGTTATATCGTGGATGTTTGGCAGCATTTGAAAACAGACAATTTTGCATAAAATTAAGCACATTTTGCATAAAATTAAGCAAAATACATGCAATCGCGAAAAAATATCGATATATCGGTATTATTTTTTTCGGTATCGGTTTTTTTTTAGTTTTTTTTTCAAATACCGCAACAGCCTACCCCCAATTTTTATTTCATAAAATGATTTCTTTTAGTATGCTCAATTATTTTGACAATTTATTAAAATAACGATCTAAATGGTGAATTTTCAGCCATTTTTTTGAAAACTGTGTCGCTCCATTTTTTTGAAAACCGTACGGCCTACTTTTACGCAAACGTGAATTACAATTGCAACTTTCATGCTTACTTTTGTCTGTTATCTGGGCGGTATACTAGCTCGTCAAAACTTTATGTATTTAAACGGATAACTCCATTGAAAAGTCCTTCAAAACAGTACATTTTTTAAGGATTCTCCAGTCAGGGTGGGGCAAAATTGCTAAAGGGCCCATTCTCTCCTTGTCCTCCCCATGCAGGATAGTATACGATCGCCGAAGGTGTGAGCCAAGTACCGTAGGCTCCAGTTAGCTAGGGATGGTTTTAAAATTTGGGTCTCTGAAATAGCATTTCGTGCATTCTAAGGACACATTTTTAAAAAATTTTTTAATCAGGTGAAATTTGTAATAAATTGCATGCTAAACATTCAAACACAACATAAGTTCAGTTCAAACACAACATAAGTTCAGTTCAAACACAACATAAGTTCAGTTACTAGTATGCTGCACCAACAAATTTAGTTTGTTAAACTTTTTTTTTCAATGTTAAACTCATTTACTCATACAAGTCCTAGGGACCTGGCTTTGGGGCAATAGGCCATTTTTTTTCAGTTGTGGGGCAGAGGAAGGGGCCCAGTGGGGCAAATGCCCCACCAGTCTACAGTATTAAAAATGCCTTGCTTCAAAAATAGCACATTACACACATGGCATAAAATTGAATTATTACATGCACAGATAACAGAGAAAATTAAGCATGAATGTTGCCATTGTAATTCGCGTTTGCGTAAAAGTAGGCCGTACTGAAATTGTCATATCTCAACGGGCATTTTAGGTATATTTAAACCGATAATTGAAAGTTAAACGAGACTTACATGTAAGTTGAAGTTTGACGTAGATTCTACGAAATATTGGTTATTGAGCTAAGGAGTCACGTGAGATATGCGCGCGAAGCAAGCTAGATCACACTTTAAAGCAGAAGGGTCATGACATCACAACCTGGGAGGGAGATTGTGCAATACAATGTGTAGGCACATATCCCAACACTGGGAGGGAAGGTTGACTCCTTAGCTCAATAACCAATATTTAGTAGAATCTACGTCAAACTTCAACTTACAGGTAAGTCTCGTTTAACTTTCAATTCTACTTCATGATTGGTTATTTTCGCTAAGGAGTCACGTGAGACTTCAAAGCGTCATGACCCATAGAAGCAAAATCACAACAGTGAAGCTCAATCAATGTGAATGATATATAGTGAAAATATTAAATCAGTAAACAGTACAAATAAACAGTTACGGAGTTAGTTCAAGAGTTTTGACTCATGATGGCAGACAATAGGTCTTCGCCATAGTTCTTTGTCATATCTACAATAGCTAGTTTTGTTGTAGAACTTACTAAAGGTGGTCTCATTAGTACACCCTGCGGCAGCAAGGATTTTGTTGGTATCAATATGCTTCCTATGTGCTGCTGAAGTGGAAGCCGCCCTGGTGCTATGAGCACCATATATCTCTGTGTTTATTCCAGCTTTGTGCATAACAGTTTTAATCCACCTCGCAAGAGTGTCAGTTGAAACAGGATTGTGCGGTTTCCGGAAGCTCACAAACAATTGGGTATGTTTACCTCTCAATGTTGATGTTTTTTCCAAATAGGACTTCAAGTGTTGCACCGGGCACAAATTTTTGTTACCGGGATAAGCTGCTATCACCACTTTGTTCAGATGTTTTCCCGGCTGAGAGGTTTTCAGCAACACATCAATTTCAAAACTACACTGGTCTGATTTTAAGTTCATCTTATTGATGCATAATGCCTTGAGGGTCTGAAGCCGCTGACTTGTTGTATTTGCGAACAGCATAGACAGTTTGAGTGACAAAACCTTAAGTGAACTGTCTTCAAGTTTCCATTCTTCAAGACCTTTAAGCACGACAGAGATATCCCACGTATCTTGATATTTAGGAACTGATGGTCTCAGTTCGAATACACCTTTAAGGAGTCGTGTTGCAAGTGGGTGAGAACCAAAACTGACATTTCCTGGTAGTAGAAGGATAGAGGATAGAGTGGCCCTAGCATGACTCCTGGGAAAGTCGAAATTATATATCCCACGACTTGGGAGACCTCTCTGATGGTCGGCGAAGTGTTCTTTAATAGTTTAGAGCACATCTCAATGACCTTAGTTACTTTCTCAGGTGTCATATAGAATCTCATTAGAACTGAATCAAGTATAAATCCTAAAAATATTAGTCTCTGTGTTGGGATAAGCAGATTTGTCAGGGTGAATAACAAACCCTAGTGTAAATAGCAGTCGGACAGTGTCTATAACATTTTCTAGACAGCTGACATAGTCATCCCCTTGTAGATATGAATCATCAATGTATGGGGACGAAGTGTGTCCCAGTTTTCTCAAAACTGCATACACTGGATTAAGAAGTTTTGTGAATTTCCGTGGGCAACTAGCAAGCCTGTTTGGGAAGCATGTAAATGCATATAGTGAACCTTCCCATGCAAATTTTAGATATTTTTGGTGTGGCTTGGCAATAGGGACCGAATAATACGCGTCCTTAAGATCCACTGACGCCATAAAACAATTAGGGGTCATAAGCCTGATAGCATCAATGAGTGTTTCCATTTTAAAATGGTGGTATTCTACATGCTGGTTAAGATCTTTCAGATTTAAAATCATTCGACTTGTGCCGTCCTTTTTGGGGCGTACAAAAATTGGAGATATGAATTCTCCAGGTTCATGTTGTGCATGAACAATTACAGCTTTGTGAAGTAGTTTCACAATTTCAGCCCGTATGACAGCTTGCTCGGCTTCCGTACACTTGGATAGTGACTTTGGATAGTTTTGAAGCGGCATGGTGTCGAATTCTATAGGTTGGCCGCTCACTACATCTAAAATCTCTCGATCGGAAGTAATTTTTTATCCCACTCATGATAAAAATGAGCAAGACGACCACCACGAAAGTGGCTTATTTGCATGTTAAAATGCTTCTTCAACACCGGTAAAAACGTTAAAAATTCGTTTACCTTAACTTTAGATAGATGTGTATATATTATATCCTTGTCGATGGCAGTCACTTCTTGTTGAACTTGTTGCCCCCTTTCCCGATTTTTCTGATGACTGGGGAATCTGTTGTTCGACCAACGCGGGTTGGGGCCTTTGGATAAAAAAGACTTTTCACGATCATTTCTTGGATGCCGTTGAAAAGTCGATTTGTTGTAACTGCCAAAATGTCCAGTCGTGGACTGGGTGGCCGTTTGGCTAATTCGATTCGACGCTCGAATTGCATTTAGTTGGCTTTGTAATTCATCGCCAAACAACATCGAGGTTACCGATGTTTGGGAAGAGCACAATGAAGCATACTCTTTATTCAAGCTGGGTTTCATCGTTTCGCGACAACGAAGTGAAAGGTCATAATTTGTATGCCCCAGGAGAGCAAGGGCATCCACCTGGGAACGAGGTTGATCCACTTGAAGTGTGAGAACTTCGTTCATGGTGTTGTTTTCGCCGCCTTCATGGCGCCGAATGCCGCCAGTTTGGCGGGCATTCATAAGCAGTTGAGCAGACTGTGTGAGAGCTGTGCCAACTGCCACCAAGGTTTTTTGGATAGCGACAAGTTTAAGGTCCTGTCGTTGGCCCATGTTTGATATTCGGGACCAAATTTCGGGATTTACCTTGGGAGCAAACAATCGTTCGCAGTTCTCTGGTCGGTCATATTTCGCTACTTTCTCTTTAAATTTGTCGTTCGATAATTTTGACGACCATCTCTTATTGACGATATCAGCCAGCTGAGGCGAGACCGGACTACTTGTTTTATCGTCAGCCAAATACTCCATAGCTAACGTTGTGAGGAATGCATCTTCCTCGTCGCCATCTTTAATTTCAGCTGATTCGGTCTCTTGCTCTGAAGGATGGTCGTCGATTAGGGCATCAAAATCACTCCCTTCTTGATCAGTCGACCTCCTTTTCTTGCTGCTCAGAGTCAAAGACTCTGCTGACTCCACCGCCCGAGAATCTCGTTTGGCAGTAGCGGTTGGAGTTTGTTTTATTTTGCGGATTTCTTGACTCATATTTGACATATTGTTCGCCAAAGTAGCCATATGAGCATGGTCGGATCATCTTCGCTATTTGATAAATCGTCCTCCTTGAGCAGTTCGTTTTCTATCTCGTCTTTTTCCGTAATTTGTTTGTTTCTACGTGTGTTCTTCGCAACGTTTCGCCTGCAAGTGATCTAGCTTGCTTCGCGCGCATATCTTACGTGACTCCTTAGCGAAAATAACCAATCATGAAGTAGAACTGCATTGAAAAGCCCTACAAAAGCAGCACATTATAGTGGCATAAAATTTGATTACTACATGCACAGATAACAGAGAAAATTAAGCATAAATGTTGCCATTGTAATTCGCGTTTGCGTAAAAGGAGGCCGTACTGAAATTGTCATATCTCAACGGGCATTTTAGGTATATTTAAACCGATAACTGCATTAATTAAAAAGCCCTTGAAAAACAGCACATTATAGTGGCATAAAATTAAATTACTACATACCCATGCAGATAACAAAAAGAAAAATAAGCATGAAAGTTGCAAAGGTTGGGATTTTAATTCTGCATGAAAAATACAAATACCACTCTATATGCCTTCATATCCGCATTTTACCCTTTCACCGTCCGTTCGCATTTTACTCTCTCATCCGTCCGCATTTTACCCTCCTGTCCGTCCGTTTTTTACCCTGTCATCCATCCGTCCGTTCGTCTGCCGTCTATAGTCTTAAAAAATATTTTCATTGTCTATGCGACGCTCAACACCGTACCCACGACCCACGACGCACGACCCACGACGCACGACCCACGACGCACGACCCACGACGCACGACGCACGACCCACGACGCACGACCCACGACCCACCCACACACGCCATTTAGCCATCCTCATTAGAGAAACAACATACGTTTAAAGTGTATGTTGTTGCGCATCAAACTGGTAACTGTTATATGGAATTCACTTTAAGTGCGATAAAATTAAACTACTCAGAAATTTTTGCAAATAGCGTAACACTTTTCAGCATTTTAACAAAAATACAGTAAAATATTTCCTTTTAATAGATTATCAAATCAATACGATTTTACCTGAAACTGGCTCTGATTCTTGAATCATAAAATACTCCTGCGAATAGGTTTTCTCTTCTGCAACAGCTGAATCTGTGTGGAAGAAGAATCATGCACTTGTTATAAACTAAAAGCTTGAAGTATAATTGGGATTTCTCAGGGATCCGAAATCGCTTTCTAAGTTAATAGATGATGTTACATTGCAATTATATTGTAAGAATAGGCTAATAATAATTATATAGGGGAAATGAATTACAAATAATTAACAATTATTGGATGAGGTTGAGCGGAATATGCAGAATTATTCAGAACGAAGTTAATGTTATCAGCCAAAGCCGAAAGCTGAGGCAGGTAACTCTACCCGAGAACTGAATAATCCTGGATATCCTGCGCAACATGACACTAATAATGATTTTATTATTCATTCTGTGACAGTAACAAATAAAACGAACAAAAATTTAAAAAAAACGCAAATTTATTAAAATTATTGACTTTTAATAAAATTTCCCGCCACTTTCTAATTTCACAGAAAGCGCCACTGAAATATCTCAAGTTCCGTCCAATAATCTCTTCCGATTATTGTTTCCCATGCATTAAAAATAGCGCCGCCAGTTACAAATACGTTAAATTATTTGTGGCCTTTCAGCCAAATATATATATACATATAAAATAAATTAAAAAAAATAAATATTGTTGCCTCCGTAAAATCGTGTCGAATAATATATCTTCTCGTGTTGATATTATAACTTTTATTATGAATACTTATTTATGGTTTAACCGTTCGTATACACTTCTCGTCTCTCGTCCCTTCACTGTTCGATAGTCCCAATAATAATGTTCTCAAAGTCTCAAGTAGAATCTATTATCTTAAAAAAGTATACGCGTCTCGCCATGTCTCGTCTCGCTTTGTTTCTGTTTTTTGACTGACAGTTCTTAACTAAAGTTATTATTATCGCGTGACGTCAGTCTACGACACACTCCCCCCATATATCTCTTTAGAAGATATATATCTAACAGTAGACTGAGTCTATGTGACTATTGTTTCTTTATCTTTGAATGTCAACTCCACTGTATACGATTAAATGTTCCTTTAACGTTTCAATCATCAACTATCATCTTGTTGCGAAGCCTCGCTGCATGCAACCGCTGCGTCTCTTTTCGGCCTGAACTCGGTGGCCTCTGCATTCAACTCGGTGGTCGTCTTGGTTGTCTGTCTGTTTTCAATGTCACAACTTAACTCTAATGGATAAAGATGTTGCACTGGTCGTTCCATGAAACTTTTCCCCGCACGTAGCTTTACCGCTCTTACGAGACCATCTTTCCCTTCGTAGAGTTCTTTTGGTAACATTCCAGTTGGCTGCGACAGCCACAACAGGCTTTGACTTGTCGTTTAGCCAAACTTCTCAACTTGGGTATCCAATACCTCTTTCGAATCTGTGCCATTGTTAAACCGACTCCCCCGTGGAAAGTGCGCAAGTGCGCTTCTTGTACTAATTTCTCCGTGAATGTGCTCGTGTTCGGTAAGTAAACTGGGTTTTCGCCTTGTATGCGACCATGACACAGAAGTACCTCTTGATCATTTTCTTGTAGGTTAAGTTGTTCTCGATCTTTCTCAATGTCACTCTCTCGTTGGACTCGCTTGATCCACCACAGACGAGCGTTTTCAATCTCTTGAGTTGTCAGCAGGGATGCCGGAAGTTGCTGAGGGCAAGGGGTGCAATTGGTTAACAAGAGGGCATACTCCTTAATAAAAGGGCACCAATGAAAATGAAAGGGCGTCATGATCCTACATTTGTGTCGACCTCCCTCCCCGTCACCAATTTTTTTCGGACCGAATACAATTATTTAGGCACAATTCCTCCGTAATCATTTCTCGCCAAAAATTCCATAAGTAATGCTTTCCATTTCACCTTTCGCCAAATAGATAACAACTTTGCCGAATTCCTGACGACTGGGGGGTGGAACATCCCCACACACATCCTCGAACGACGTTTAATTCTGTTGTAAAAGTTTTGTGCACCTGTTACACCCATAGTCTGCACCCGCACTGCGCCCACAAAGTTGAAAATGCAAAAGGCAAGGGGTGCACTTGCACTCGCTGCACCCGTGGTTCCGGCATCCCTGGTTGTCAGAGCACCCCGTTGACTCTCTTTGGTTATGCAGTTGCTTATTAATCTCAGGATCCAGGCACATACTCGTAGTGTACGATGAAGGTCGTGTTTTTTCAAACAATCGATCAAATTCGTCAGCTACTCGCTGGGCTTGTGTTGCACAAAGAACCTCTCGAACCACTTTGGCTTCAACTTCAATAGCTGTGGATGGTTGCGTTTCAAGGTTGTCTGGCCATTTCTCTGGATCGTCCAACCATTCTGGACCGTTCCACCACAAAGATTTATTGGACAAACGTCCTCCTCGACTGGCTATGTCTGCCGGGTTGTCTTTCGAGGGTACGTGTCTCCAACTTATTTCTGGGTGTTGATTTATCTTGGACACTCGATTTGCGACGAACTGGCGGTACTGTCCTTCTCCACGAATCCAATGGAGAGCGACGGTGCTATCTAACCACCCATAGATTGTTGGTTCGGGAAGGTTTTGGAGCGCGTTTTGGACATTCTTCACTGGATTAGTCGCCATGTGCGCGGATATCAACTCCAGACGGGGAATTGTCAATTCTTCTTTGGCCAATCTAGATTTGGCCGTTACTAATTGTTGTGTATTCCCAGATTTTTGTCGCACTACGGAGTATACCACTGCTCCGACACCCTTCGTCGAGGGATGACCAAAGGTGTGGAGTTCTACATTCAAAACTGGCTCTCGGTATTTCACTATTGGACGTGGTATGGTTTCTTCTTTTGGCAGAGACTTTTCTATTCGTTCCAGCGACGGCTTAACGGTTCTTGAATATCAGCATCCCATGGTACTTTAGTCTTGCACACGTCTCGAAAGATTATTTTTCCTTCGAAAGTGATGGGTGAGACCACACCTAGGGGGTCATAGACTTTTGCTAACTTACTAAGGATTGTGCGTTTTGTTGTGGTAGAAATACTGTCAACGGTTGGAAAAGATACAGTTAGAGTGTCCGACGATTTGGTCCACTTTAACCCGAGCATTGTTGTGTCAGTCGAATCACCGCCTAACTGCTGTTTGGCGTATGTTTCTTCGTCGTTTCCCGCTGAAGGTTCACCGTTCACTTCAAGTTCACTTACGTTTGAATTCCATTTATGTAACTTGAAAGAGGCGTCTTCGAAGATTTCAACCGTTTTCTCCTTTCGATCTTCTGCTTGTGGAATGGTTTGCCCACCGGTGAGCAAATCATCTACATACAAACTTTTGCGTAGTTCTGCGACGATATCAGGATACCTTTCTTCCCATGAGTTGAGATGCTGCTCGATCACTCCAGCGAGGAGAAATGGGGAGGGTGCCAACCCAAATAACACTCTCGTAAATCGCAACGTTTCTAACTGCGAATCTTCTTCACTTCGCCAGTAGAATCTCAGGGCATCGCGTTCGTTCTCTCTGACTTTCACCTGCAGAAACGCCTTTTGAATGTCCCCCGACACCACGACCGGATAACCACGCTGATGGACAAGTACATCCCATAGCTTATTTTGGAGTGGAGGGCCTGCGTACAAACAGTCGTTAAGTGACGGACTGTCACGTGTCTCTTTGGCCGACGCATCGTACACGATTCGCACTTTCGTAGTTTTCGCCGTTTCTCTTACTACCGGTTTATGGGGTAGGAAGAACTCTACCCCCTCTGCTGGACTCTCGGCTGACTCAACTACTCCACTCTGTTTCTGATCTTTAATGATAGCATCGTACTCACTCATCAGCCCCTCGCGTTTCAGCTTAGTAACCAGGCTTTAGAGTCGGCGTCGACTTTCCTGTTCATTCGTTGGTAATGTTGGGAAATTACCTCTCCACGGCAATCCCGTCTCATACCAGCCTTCAGGGTTTCTGGTGAGCTGTTCTTTGAACTCGTTGTAAACTACACGTTGATCGTGTTCGGGAGCATCTTCAAGACCAAGAACGTCAAGGCGACACAACTGTTCGTAATCCAACTGATATGTTTGAGTGAGCAACATTGTCTTCCTGTCGAATTCTTTCCCTGGTGACATCAAGAACCATCCTAGTTGAGTCAGCTCTGCAACTGGTTCCATGTCCTTTCCAACTCTAGGCGGTGTCTCAGTTTTTATTCTAGAGTAGTCTCCACTGCCCAGAACAACATGAACAGGAAGCATTGGTTTTTTGTCTTGATCTTTTATGGTCACTCCCGTCAAGTGTGGATATTTTTTGATAAGATTTTCGTAGTCAGGATTCTCAAGGAAAAGCAATTCTGGCTTATCGACTTTGATTAAATTTGTTGTCATGGCGAAATTGTTCTCTGTTGATTCAATCTTAACTTCGTATGTCTCTAAACGTGCTTGTTTTGAACACATAAGCATGTCGATCTTCTTCGTTTGTACATCTAGGGGTTTAATGTGAAGTTCGTGTATTAACCTTGCTGATGCGTAGGAACTTCCCGCTCCAGAGTCTATCAAAGCTCTGCATAAAATTCCGTTTACACACACGTTCACAACAGGGAAAACACCTTCGCTCGATTGGTTTGTAGTGTAAAGTTTTTTACTACCACCGTCCCCCCCGGAACTTCCTGCTGGTTCCCCAGTCCGGTCACAGATGGATGTGTGATGACGTCGATCGCATTGTTGGCAACTTCTCTTACTTGGACACTCAGCAGCCCTGTGGTTTTCTCCAGTGCAGTTAAAACATAGACGGTGTTTTGCTAGTATCTGTCTTCGCTCCGAAACAGTTGTCACCTTTGAGCACTCACTTGATTTATGATTTTTTTCTTTGCAATACACGCACCCCCTTTGTTGGACTTGGTCACGTGCGTGATACAATTTTCCAGGGGGAGGTGGCCGACGGTACTCACGATCCCGGGATCTGGTTTCATTCGACTGTTCGATTGGATTTCTTCGCGTCCAAAGATGTAGGGCTTCGACAAATTTGACAAAATCCCAACTTTCCCAATCCGGGTCGGTTCTTGCAAGATCACCACGAATTCCCGGTAATTTTTCGAGTGTTAAAGCCACATTTCCATTAACTTGCTGCAAACATCCCATAGTTTCCAAAGACTGTACGGCATACATCAAAGTGTCATAAAACTCGTGAATTTTCTTAATGTTTACATTTGGTATGACCGGAAGTTCGAGAATTTGTTTCGTATATGCCTTTATAATTTCGCATTTTTTCCCATATTTCTCTTCTAGTATAGTTTTGGCTCTGACATAGCCCTCACCAGTGAACGGTAGAGCTTCTACCGTCTTTCTTACGTTTGTGTCGAGTAATTCGCGTAAGTAAGCGAATTTTGTAACGCTTGGAATTCCGCTTTTATCGATTGTCTCACTGAACTGATTCCAAAATCTTGTCCAATCTTGGTATGTCCCGTTAAACTTAGTAATTGTTAACTTAGGTAGTTTCGCTTGTACCTCGTCTTTGGCGCCGACGTTTTCACTTGAAAGTTTTAATTCAGATTTCAGTTTTATTTTCGCCTCATAAAGTTCGCGTTCGTGGTGTAATTGTTCTTCTCGCTCGCGTTGTTTCCCTTCGCTTGTGATTTGATCTTGCCATTGTTGTAGTCGCTTAACTTCTTCGTCTGCCTTCGCTAGCTGTACTTCAATTTCCCCAATCCATTTCTCTATCTCGTCAGGATCTTCTTTGTCTGTAATTTTCTTCGCTTCGACTTCTCCCTTCAGTAATTCTATCTCGGTTGTTATTGTCTCAAGTGCCGTTTGTTGACGTGCTATAGGGTGTTGGCTCTCTGTCTGAAGTATTTTCTCAGTTCTACTCACGGTCATTTGCAGTTGTAATAACTTGGTTTTTAACTTAGATTCAGGGGCCTCCATCACCGAAGATAGCGTATCTTTGCTGTGTTTCAAGCTATATCTCGTTGTATCGCGTCGAAGGTGCCAGGTGTAGTAAATATTGTTGCCCCCGTAAAATTGTATGAAATAATATATTCTCTCGTGTTGATATTATAACTTTTATTATTACGCCAATATGAATACTTATTTATGGTTTAACCGTTCGTATAAACTTCTCGTCTCTCGTCCCTTCACTGTTCGTTTTCTCAATAATAATGTTTTACAAAATCTCAAGTAGAATCTATTATCTTAAAAAAGTATACGCGTCTCGCCATGTCTCGTCTCGCTCACTGTTTTGCTTTGTTATTTTGTTTGATTGACAGTTCTTAACTAAAGTTATTATTATCGCGTGACGTCAGTCTACGACATTTGAAATAAACTGATTTCAAATTCTCGCATGAAAATAACTTTGCTTTCCTCTTTATTAAATACTTTAATAAACAAAACAGACTCAGGGAAAAGCTTTCGCGTTCCGTGAGTTCAATTATAATTCTTATAAAAAGGAAGTATTACTACTGTACTGCATAATTAGCAGTATTATTGGCAGTTTATAGTTAAGTTTCTGGTTTGTTATTTTCGGCTTTATACATACAGTTCACGATCACTTAAAGTAATCCTGGCTAGTTATATAGAACAATGTAAATGCCGTGCACATAGCCATAGCCGTATTGCGTTCCGTAAATACTGTATAAATTCTCATGAACTATTAAATCAGGGCCCGAGACGGGGCGGTGCCGGTATTATACTGTAAAACTCAGGCAAAACAACTCGCATAGTCAATTTTATGTGACAAATAGACGAATTACACTAATCCCCGAGCCGACGGCGCGAAGCGCCGTGCGAGGGTACTAATTCCCCCCGGCTATTTACACCCGGGGAAACGAAAGCATTAGCGGAGTCTAAAGTTCATCAAATATCGCGGGCGTGGGTGACCAACGATGGGTGGTCATCCTCACTGATCTCAAAAATATGGCGGACTGTCATGAATAGCGGACACTGATTGGTCCAATTTAAATTTTGCATTATAACGACTGGCACGAATGTATCACGACAGCAAAATAGCAAAAACATTTCTTGATTTGATGATTGATAAATTTCTTGCAAATATATTTCATTTTTACTCGCATTTTTGCAAGATTTTGTAAATTTCAAAAGCTCTCTCAAAATGAAACTGCGAAAGAATGGTCTAAAAGAAGGGAGCCGACGTTAACGAAGGTAAGTTTGTTTTAAATATTGATTTTATAATGGCTTTAAAACCAGACGGCCTTTGCGTATATGAAACAACTAAACAAACAGCATATAATTTTAGTGTATCTGTTAGAATGTGTCAATGTATTGATTTAATTAAGTTTAGTTTAGTTTATGCCAAATCCATTGACGTAATAGCCAGAGTAAACGTTGGACAGGAAGGACGTTTACTACAGTTAATAAATAATAGTGCATGATATAGACTGTGTTGAGAACACATGTTGAAGAGTTAAGTTTACGCTCTTGAAGAGGTAACATCAACGACGAAGTCAGATCAAGATAGAAATATTAAGTGTGATATATAATCTATATATAACCAATCAAAGTTTATATAACTATAATAAATAAAGTTTTGGAGCAACTATTGTGTATGCATTGGTAATCCTAACTGGCAAAAAGTAACCTGTATGGCACGAGGTAACATTTGGCGACCCCGGCAGGATTGCCAATGAAGGGAATTTTGTTGTTGGTTCTGGTCGTGGTTCTCTGAAGCAACGCGCAGAAGTGGTCCAGAGAGGGGTAGCAGACTGAAGCTTTCCGATGACAGAAACGAGGTTAGATCGTTCTAATTGTTTTAGTAATCTAGACGAACATAGCATGCGTTCTCGCTTTTGAATGTGGGTAGGAATAAAGTAGTTTTGTGAATTGAACTACGTGAACAGTATAGTTGTTTTCGACCTTTATGAAGACAAGTGCTAGTAATAAACTATGTCTACGGAAGATCTTGAAACATTACAATTTGAATTAGAGTCCCTACTCTACACCAAAAGCGAGGTCGAATTGAAAGAGTTTGCTGCTTCGATCAAATTAGATAAAGACATTTCAACGAAGAGCAAAATTGCGATCTTAAAAACTATTCAGAAAGATATAGATGAAAGAGTTAACGCAGAGGGGGAAATGTCCGAAAAAGTGGCATGGTTTAAGGATTGTATTGCAAAAATTAAATCTCACGATCAAAGCCAAAAAGTTGACCAGGCAAATGAGCTTATCTCGTTGCAAAAGGAAATTGAAACATTAAAGGAAAAACAACAATCTGAAATGAGTGATTTGTTGACAAAATTGGCCGAAGTTCAGACCAGTTCAAAAACCGCGGAAACCACAAATGTCACAACTGGTATTAAAAATACAACAAAAGGATGCATGAAACCCGATGACTCTGTGAATGCTTCATTTCTGCGTCGCGAGTTCAAAATTTCTGGGCAAATTGGAGAACCCGGTCAGGCAGACAAACTGACATTCGTTTCGCTGACTCATCAAATTG